GTTGCATATCTGCAACATTATGCAAAATGATAAAAAAGTGCTTGTTGCATTCCTGCAACATTGTGAAAGATGGCACTAAGATTGAAAGATTCAAAAATATTAATTCATATCAAAATTTTTAAAACAGTTGTTACTTTTGTTGTAACAAAGTCCTACACCACATTTCTCACAAATAGTTTGTGTAAATCCTTTGCATTTTGAGTATTTGCATCTGATTCTTTTGTTAACCCAATTAGGCCAGTGCCCAATTTCATCTTGGCGCACAGGTTTTGGCCGACAATCGCCGAAATCGTCCTTCAAAATTTGTTGGGGCAAAGACATAGGCTTTTTGTGTATGTTGCAGATATGCAACAAGGTGATATAAAGGGTTAAAACATTTAAGGTATGGAATCAAGCTTATGAAAAGCATATTACAGTTATTTCAGAATTAAATAAATTGTCAGTTAAATACTGAGCAATTATCAGTGTAAACTTTGAATTCGATTTGTTCAATGATTAAATGCTTTTAATGAAAACGAACAAAAACATTCATAATAGGTGCCAAAAGTTAATATGTTTAAGTAAGTTAGGTAGTAGTTAACAATTAGGGACCCACCTAATATTTGTCTATTTGAAAATAAACCAATATATGTATAAAGAAATTAACCATACTCATTCACAAAGCGGTAAACAAAACTTTGGTAACCCTAAGGTGATGTCATTAAAAATTAAAACAGCAACGTTTCAATTCTCTTCTTTTTTTTGCGAAAATAGATACCGCTTATTGTTTTTCATTGTATTTACATTTCCTTTCAAGTACAACGCAAATTTGCAGCTGGCAAAGATGACCAACATCATTTTATTTAACAAAGTTTGTTGTTAAAGACATGATTTTAAAAAATTTAGTCAGCATGTAAATGCGATTTTCATGTATTTTACGCGCATTTTGCATTCGTTAAGCACAATATTTTAAAAACTTTATCAAAAATGAATTAAAGTGTTACATTTTACAAAAACAAAATCTGTTTTTACCCGTAGTTCCCAATGATAATAAAATCTAAAATCAGCTCGAAACTAACGTCGAAAAAACTAACTCAAATTTTCAATTAACATTTTTAATAACTGTTTTTTTTTAACATTTGGTCAGCTGTTTTTCGATTTAGAACACTATACGCTCTCTATTGGTTGCTTGAAACAAACCACACGAAAGTAATTTTCGGATGGAATGCACGCAAAATATTTCAACCTATTAATTCTTAAAATTTTTGACTCAAATATGCGCATCGAATGTTTTTTAGTGCATAGAAGTTTTTTCACAAAAACCACACACACATAATTTTAAAACTTTTATATGCGTTTAATATTTTTAAAAAATCAGAAATTAAAATAATTGTTTTGAAAAAGTCTATAGGTGCAAATGAAATACAATATTTATTTATTCTACTTACAAACACACCATCTTAATAAAGCTTAAAAAAAAAAAAATTCTCAAAAATTAAGTATGCTGTCAAAATTTTTAAACATTTTTACGTAGGTTTTTTCTCTTCGCTCACAAGTACAATAGAGTATAAATAGTGTAGAGTTTAAACATATTTCTGGTTAACAAATTAAATTAAAATTCCTTTTTCGCCCACTTCAGCGGGCTGCAGTAAAATTATCAAATGTTCACCGGTCTGCGGCGATAAAAACGTAAGGGAGTACGACCCTAAAAAGTCAATAATCATTGACGTTAAAAAATAATGAACACACAATAACATCATCAGTAGTAGACGGTATAGTCCCTTTGCCATCAAGCATAAAGTTTCTTTGCTATTAGGCTAACCTTGAGATGTTTTCGTGGTTTTTCTCTCCATGTAACGCAAGTAAGAGTTAAACGCAACGCAAGTAGACGCAAGTAGAGTAAGCTTCCACAAAGACGAATTTCTCCCAATACTTGATCTAGAAGTTCTCTTTTTTCTGGTTAGGATGCAAAATTATAAGACTACGATGTTGAATACTAGTAGTTAATAAGGTCATAAGTTAGACTCCCTTTGCCGTCGGGCTAACAGTGGAAGGTTTTCGTGATTTTCCTCCCCAGGTTATGCAAATGTTGGGTTAGTTCCATCAAAAAGTCCTCCATGAAAGCAAATTTCCCCAATACTTGATCCAGGAGTCTCCCTGTCTTCTGGATTAGGCTCAAAATTAGAAGGCTACGGTGTTAAAAATTTCAGTAGTCGTAAATCTAAAAATTGGGTCATTTGTTTACTGTTATAAAATAAAATGGAATTCCTAAGAAGCTTTCATTCTGATTTATTTATGTTTTCCTTTCGTGTTTTATTCTTTTTTGATGCTGATTCTTCAATCTTCCGAAAAGTGTAATCCACATCAATATTTTAATTCCTATTATTCGCAGGTGAAAGACTTTATAAAAAAAAAGTATGCTAGGCAGCTTTTAAAACTTGAAGAAAGAAGAAATTCTAAATTTTTAGACGAGATATATAGTTTGTTCACCAGGAGTTGGCACTTGGCTCCAATTCCTCAGACAATGAGTTCATATCAGAGCGGGAGGATAAACGCCTCCACTCCTGAAATTAAGAAAACCTTTAATGCACGCCAAACGCAAACAGTGAATTCTTTTTTTAATCACTTACCTCGCTTTATCATCTGCTATTATACCTTTCGGTACTCTAGCTAATTAAATATATTGCAGCAAAATGTCTCAGAAAGAACTAACTATTCACTCAAAAGAGAGAAATATCATGGAATTTTAGGAAATATTTTAAATTTTAAAAAAAATGTACTTAAAGATTGCGAAATAAATATTTTTGTCATACGATCTCCAAATAGCAACCTTGTCCAGGATGGTTCTCATCCTTCTTCCAAAAATAGCACAATAGTATCGTCGGATACCACGTGATGGAAGTGGAGCCAAGTCATCAAATGACCTGGTGAACGAACTATAGCATGATATTTATTATTTCGAATAGCATGCTCTCCAAACTCTTAATTTCAGAAAACGATGATAATTTTTTAGCATAATTTTTTTAAAAAGAAATATTTTACAAGTTTTGATATCGTATTGATATGGTTCTTCCGGGTTTAAGTTTAAAAAGCTGTTTATTTTTTAATCCAGTGATTTTATTACTGGCGGTCACTATACTTAATATATTGTTAAAAGTAAAATTTTGATGCTCAGGTTGAAGCCAGCTGAACCATGGCACAATTTAAATGTTTTACCTAATTCAATTTTTTAAAAAAAAAAAACACACTTTTAAGAATAAATATCGCAAAATTGACAATACAGAAATTTTTGAACGTCATTAGTTATTCTTGACGGTGTTCAAATCTCAAAACTCTTCTTCTGAATTGTCACATTCGGTTCCGAAAGTAAAATTTGGGAAACATAGTCTAAATTAACACTAATTGAGGGACATAGTAGCTTTATCTTCATCTCCTATGACGTCCGGATGGATTGTCCTACTTCTTTTTTTAATCGGACTCTAAATTTGTTTGCATTATGTAACAGGGTGTTAGCGGGGTAGTGCTAGCCTGTTAGTGAACTTGCGGCAATTAGAACTCATACTTATTTGTCCCGCAGTGGACTGATTGTTAAGTTACTGCTCCCAGCAGATCACAGAAGTCAAGCATCACTGGACGCGGTCAGTGTGCGGTTGGGTGACCACTTGAATCATTTCTCGTAGGGACGAAGGGTGTGCGGTTTGGGTCCTCGTTTCCGTAAAGTGCTCGACTTCGGTTGCAGGTCTTCGGGCTACCGAGTGGGGTTGCCATCCTCTCTGCAGAGGATCAAAACGGTGATGGCATGTCTTCAGATCATCCTCAGGGACGTTTCCCAGACCGTCGCCAATAGCCCATTGTGCAGCTCTAGTGAGACGTAAATGAACTACAACAACATCATACTTATTATCTGATGTCTTTATAATCAATCGTGTTTATCGATAGTTGCATTCCGCCTTAAGCTTTTGGCGAAACTCGTATTTGCAAACAAGTACGGGTATTTATTTTCCCAGTTTCTAATTTGGAAGGATTTTCCAGAAACAGTTTAATTTTTAAAAAAAAAAAAGAAATGAAATTTAAGTAGCTATTTTCAGCAATGTAAATTACAAATATTTCCCAGAAAATTCAAAATATAGCCGAAGACAACGTTCCAATTTATTTTTTAATGACAACGTTGCAATTTTAATGGTTTGAGTTTTATTTTAATGATATTATGTAATAAAAATGATATTATTTACTTTAATGATATTATGTAATAAAAAATGGAACTTTGCTTTGAAGTTCTTATTTCCAATAAAACTCAATCTGCAGTTCCGGGGACTTGCCAATTGAAAGGAAGTGACTTGCCTCAAATGAAAATAAATTATTCTTTAATCAAACAGCAATTAAAACAGCTAGTTGACAGAATAGTAGTCCGCAGATTCCAAGCAAGGAAGATGCGATTTAATTTGTTTTTGAAGATAAGGAACTCTAGGAGAAATATTAAAAATGTGAGATAAAAAAAGCATTTTAATACTTTTATTAATTTATTATGGTTGATATAGTACTAAATTTATCTCACGAATATCGATATTGAATATTTACTCGACTATTATTGTCCAAAATCACAACATTTCCGTACTCCAGTTTTGATTAAATTGAAAAATTTACTCTACAGAATAAAAGTGAAACAAAGAATGCACATATTAGGAAAAATTATGAATCACTCTTCAGAATAATTGTGAACTTAAAAAAATGAAGACTAAACTCCCGTTGTTCAGGAAAATTTCCCAAATTTTTCCAGAATAGTTAACAACTTCCCTGTCATTGTGAAATTAAAAGAAATGAATTTCTCTCTGAAAAGAAACTTCTTTAGACATTTAGGTGCGTTTTTTTTTCTCAATTCATGAAGAAAATCCATTTTATTTAAATTTAAATGCGTCTATCACATTAATTTTTAAAAAAAATAATTGTGTCATAATTGTTGTTAAATTTTGAATATTTAAATAATTGTATTAAAAAAACAGTAAAGGAAAATAATGACTTACGGCCCCTTTAGACCATTCTTTAGAGAATTTGTCTTTATATTCGATGACGTAACCGGTTATGGGTGATCCGCCATCTTTTGCTGGAGGAGTCCATTGAAGTTCAACCATATCTAAATCCCAATCTGTGACCTCTGCATTTCCCGGCTTTGAAGGTTCATCTGTGAGGAAATAAAAACATTCAAAATAACTAAGATAAATAAATACTGAAAGAGGAATGCAAAAATGCAGTAGCGAAGAAGTTTGTAATCATAATAACGAATTGTTAATTACCGTAGGGATCCTTAGCGATGATTGGTTTAGCACAGGCCAATGGATCTGAAGCTCCTTTCTTATTGACTGCCCTCACCCGGAATTTGTACTCCTTTTTATTCACCAGTCCAGTCACGTCGAAGTTGGTGTTTTCCGTGGTCCCTATTTCCAGCCATCCACCCCTTGCTCCCATGTCCTGCATCTCCACCATGTAATGGCTGAGGGGCATGCCACCGGTATCCAAGGGGGGCTTCCAAGAGAGCTTGCATCGGTCTCTGAAAACGTCTGTCACATCCAGCGGTCCTAGAGGTGGCTGAGGGACATCTGTGACCGATACAAAACTCTATTAATTCATGTTACGAAGTGTATAGATTTATCGATTAGGACTATTTATATATTCTTCCTCTTTAAATGCCCTACAGCCTGTTACAGGTCAAAGCCGTATTAATAAGCGTATTCAAAGGATCAGATGTTATGGTCCGTTATTAAACGATAGGGTAGTTAGAGTTAATTAATTGGCATATATCTTTCAAAAACGGGTCTTGCAAACCTTACAATTTAAAAGTTAGAAAATCGAAGGGTTTAAAATTAGGTTGATTGATTGATAGAATGTAGGTTTTTATGGCACAAGATCCAAATTATAATACCTCCTACATAAATAGGAGCATAACGATATGTGTGAACGAACGATAAAATAAAATATTAATAACAATTAATTCAATGTTCCAATAAAAATAGGAGCATCGGATTAATGGTTATTTGCATTTTATTTTATCGTCGGTATTGAACAGCCAAACTATAACTGATTTACGGTATTTAATTCTATAATTTAGTAATGCTAAGATTAGCTCAGAAGACGAGTGTAATCCGGGTCAAAAAAACATTAGGACAACCTCGATTTCGTGGAGAATTTTTTGACAGAAACTATCGTATTTTTATCGGCAACCACGTAACGTTATCGTATCGGCAACCACGAAAAATAGATATAGCATATACCACATAGCTAACTCGAACTGCAGAAGGATTCTAAATCACGATCCGTCTGCCGTAGGTGGTTTCAGCACTATGGCCGAAGCGAGTAGGTAGCAGTCTACGAATTGATCCACCACGACTGGGATTCATGCCTGGGTTGCCCCATAAGCGTTATATATTATAATTTTGTCAAAAGAAGTGTAGATTAAAACATAATCTTGCGTTTAGATTTAGGATTTTCTGAAACAATTCAAAATGGCGGATAAAAAGCGGCGATTTAAATGTTTCTAATCCAAAGAAATGGAGGTGTAAAATTCTTACTAGTAATAATTACAACAATTTTAAAATTAAAAAAAACATGTTAAATGTACCTCTCAAATTCTTTTGGGACGTTTTTTGAATCTAAACTGTTGTTATTAATCGAATGAAACTCAGAAAACAATCAAAAAATCAATTTTTGACCTCTATGTCAACTTACTTCTTTGTGAACTGGGGGGAAAATTATGAAACTTATCGGTATGATAAGTAAGTTAATCCAAAAACTTACCAACGAAATTGAAGTTCAACTTTATTTTGTCTTCTCCAGTGGCGTTCGAGAGACACAGTTCGTAGTCTCCACTGGCTTCTCTTGGTGGTTTCCTGAAAATAATGACAACTTTGTCGTTTCTCACTGCTACCTCTACATCTTTGGTTGGTTTCCCGTTTCGGAGAAGCTTAGAGGCAATGTCAGACACCTTCGTTCCTGGAACTATGAAGGAAATCATTAAGTTCAAGACAAACTTTCTTAACACTAAGCATACCATAACCGGTCAAATAACCGTGAACTTCTGCATCGAAAATGCTTATCGTTTATCTCATCGTTATGCTTATTATCTTATCGTTTTTGCACATTTGACTTCATGACTTTTTCCAACAATTATATGCAGTTAATATTCTATTATTATTAATATTATTGTATTTTGTTTGTTTCGAATAGTAAGTGTCGTATACTATTTCTACCACAACCGGTCATTTGACGGGGAGAACAATTTATTGCTTTATAAGGTTATCGGATCAGAAATTAGGATGTAATGCGTGTTCGATACAATAAAATGCATAAACAATAAATAAATCTAAGTTAAAATTAAAGACGAGGAAGAATTATACGGTTCTGTGTTCAATTAACTTAACGTTAATTAACATTTTAAGTAATCTAGAGAAACTTATCTAAACTTTAACACGGCATTTTGCTTACAAACGATCAGCTTGCTCTGACGTCATAGATCACGTGTGTCGGAATGAGTGACCTTCTTCTCAAAGTGCAAGTACCCAATAGTCCGAAACATTCTATGAAAGTGTTAATAATAATAATAAAAATGTCATGTTTTAGTTAAATATATTCTAATTGATTACTTTTCTAATTACAGAAAGACGCCTAATTTAGCGATAAAAAACGTGATTTATAAAAGAACTAGAAAATGTTGCTATAGTAATTCTTAAAATTTAGTTTCGCCGCGAGTACGATTAAATTATGTCTAGACGAAAAAGTTCCCAGAACAATAACCATTTGATCGATGGTTAATAATGTTAAATACAATAATAAATGTTAAAATGATACTAATGGTAGTAATAAATATAAATTACTTGTGAATGGAATTTCTGCTGTCAAAGGCTTGTTAGCATCACCAGTGAATTCTGTTTTGTCTCTGCTGATTTTTGGAGGTTTCTCTCCTACAAAAACAAACGAATTAGTATAATAATATTGCGGTGTAACTACCACTTTAAATATTAAATCACTAGTATATAGGACTGGTTAACTTAATTATATCATAAGGTATCTCGTGACAGAATCAAAGTTAACATGTCTTACATACTATTTGATTTGGTATTTAATGTTTTTTTGTGGTAGATAAGCTATATCTCACAAAATAGCGCTTAAAAATTCAGCCAAGTAAATACAATTCTTCCGTCCAATGACAAGAAAAGGAAGGAAAGGAAGAAAAGAAAATATTAACAAAAAATAAAAATATATGTAATGCGCGAAAAAAAAAATAAACATAAATCAACTACTGGCATTCGTTTATCAAATTCCATCTCAGATAAAATTCGGAAAAAGGAGTATTGTGGATTAACTACCACCATATTAAATACCAAATTTCTAGTACATAAAACATGTTAGTTTTCTAGTGTATAAGACATGTTCTATCACGAGACAACTTTTGATAGATGAAGGTTGGCGTTGTCGATTTCTACTCTCCCCGCGTTGGTGACCCGGGCGTGATCTGAACTCGCTTACTTCAACAGACACGCTAATGTCGATTAATTATATCTCGTTCAATGGATGGTCCACATTGAGCAGTTGACTTGATGTTTGTGACTGCGTCATCGTCTTCCTCGATCTGTTGCTTCTCAGTCTTATTTATACATAACGGGAACCTGCACAAACTGGACTGCTAATAGCAACACAGATGCAACCACTCACACAACCGTGCAATGAATTCACGACAAACGCTCAAAAGATCGGTGAACTTAACACAGCTCTCCCGGTCTCTCGTAAATACGCCAACTAGTGGTATACGTTCATCGAATTCTATCCCTGATAAAATTTTGGTGGGGTATTATTTTGCGGCGTAGCTGCCATTACAATCATTCAACCTCAATTCACTAGTCTATAAGACTTGCTAACTCGCTTCAATTTTGTGGTAACTTTTGATAAATGAAGCTTGGTATTGTCGATTTCTACTTCCCCCAAAATATTTCGAATAATAATTTCACGACATAACATATTATGTTTTACGAGAAATATCGACTGCACCCTAATATCGGCCTATTGATGGACAATGACAAATGTCTAATACGAGAGTATCGTTTTTCTTTCTTTTCACGGCAAGCACTGTTGGGCTTTCGTTCTTCACAACGGAAGATGCGAGAAGTGTTGCTCATTTAATGCTACCCAGTGCACACCTGTGAATCTAAGTCACGGAGGAGAGCAGCATTACCCAAACCACACTACACAGATACCTGTTTATAGGGCGGGACACATTCACACAACAGAGAACAAATACCAGAGAGAAACATTCATGCCCTGAGCGGGATTCGAACCCGCAACCACTAGCTTCACAGTCAAGACCGCTCGGCCACTTAGCTGGCGTACGAGAGTATCGTGAATATTAGCTATCAGGATACTTATGAAATACGATATCAAGACGAGTGTTAATGTTTGATAAAGAAAAATATTGAACAATTTGCAAAAGTCAGTTGAGTTCTTAAACTATCCCACTCATAAAATTCTGATATTACAGTTATTTGGCAATAATTAATTATATCCCTCAGAAAAAAAAAACTTTTTTGGCTTAACCCAGATTTAGAACTACACATTCAAACTAGTTTAGAAGGAGCATAAGGTTAAGGAACTCCAATCTTTTGGATCTACAAAGAGGGATTTCTCAGCTAAAGTGATCACTAAGCCTTGAAATGTTTATATATTTTTTTTTTGTGAAGCGCAACCGAAATAATAGCAAAAAAAGGATCTAACAGCGCATGACTATAAGAAGGTAATATAAGAATTGCTATGCGATGGATGCTTCGCAAAGACCGTCCTTGGAGCCGTGGTGGCTCAGGGGGTCTTCCTATTGAGGTGACCCGGGACCAATAGCTGGTCGATTCGAATTCTGCACCCGGCACGCATCGACCACAGTTCTAACGTAAATTATCCTCAGTGGTAGACGGATCCTGGATTGGAGTTCTCTTGCCGTCAGGCTAACCATGGAAGGTTTTCACGGTTTTCGTCTCCATGCAAAGCAAATGCGGATTAGTTCCATCAAAAAGTCCTCCACGAAAGCAAATTTCTCCCGATACTTGATCCAGAAGTTCCCTTGTCTTCTGGATTGGGTTCAAAATGACAAGGATACTGAGCTGAACATTAGTCGCAAACCCATAAAATTGGGTCAGATGTTCAACGACGGTTATAAAATAAAATATAATGACCGTCCTTAATGACCACCTTTTAGAGTCCGTTTAAAAATGAAGTAGAAAAACTAGGCACAAGAGATGCCATATAGTTAACAAAAATGTTTTGTGGCATCTCATGTGTTCTGATCTGTTGAGGTTAATAATAGCAAATGAAGTATTAAAATAATCTAAAAACTAGTTTGAGCTTAAAAGACGTTCTCTTCTGTCCCACTAGAAAAATTAACCGCTTGCGCTGTTATGTCAAGGGTCCTGTCCACAACGGTATTAATTATAGCAAAGGCAGAAGAAAAAACACTTTTGAAGTACATAAAGAGAATTTGCAATGGATGGTCGCACGCCTCTCCATGTCTTTGAAAGGGGCTCTGTGATTGGCGTGAGGTACAGGGATGAGATCTTGAATCTCAAGGTTCGCTTTTCCAGGAGTGCAGTTGGCCCTGATTTTATTTTAATGGACGATAGCGCGATGTCACATAATGATCTTCTGCTCGACGAATTTCTAGAGAGTGAGGATATTTACGGCATGGATTGGCCAGCCAGATCTCCAGACTTCGGTCCCTGGGAGAGGTTTTGATGGTCTCCCTCTTTCTTCACCACAAAAACTATGGAAAAAATTCCGTGCCTCCCAAAAGTGGTCGGAAATTGAGGTGGTCTTTTCCAGAGGTTTCAATGTTTTTCTAATAAACGAGAAACTTTCCATCAGACGAGTTTTGATGTTTCTTTAGTCAATCTTCCTTATTACAAATTCCACAGCTTTATATTTTACGGATAAAAATATATATTAAGTGTGGTTATTACAAAACACCTTTTTCATTAAAATGTAACTAATAATAGCTTACCTTCTCCCACAGCCAGTCTGCCGCTTGTGGAGAGTTCCTTACTTCTGCACTCATATTCACCAGCATCATCAATTTGGCAATTGTTTATGATCAGATGATGTCTACCATCACCGAAGGACTTGAGAACAATACTGGAACATAAACAACGTCTAATGAAAACAGCTGATTCAAATTTACAAGATCATTCAATGTAAAGTTTATTTAATGCAAGCAACTGATTCAAATGTGACTGAATGTTTTTTAATTTGGATATTCAAAATAATTGCAAATTCATGAAATAAAAATATATTATGACGAAATTTCTATATTTTCAGAATATGTATTCCGCTATTAAAAAGCCAATATCGCTATAAAATATGCAATAAAAAGATTGAAATCTTTAAATCAATAAGTTTAATATTTACTCCTAAGAAATCATGATTACGTTAAAATAAAAACAGCTATACGTAAAGTATTTAAAAAAAAAAAACTATGCTTACTTAGTTGAAGACTTTATGGGTTGGCCATCCTTAAACCATTCCGCCGGGGCCTTCTTGTCCATCAGTTCTATTTCCAGAACAACCTGATCACGTTCGACTGCCGATGTATCTTTCAATTTCTTTACAAATCTGTTCGAAGCTATGTAAAAGAAAACAATATTGTTTGCTACATTAAGTAGACCATTTCACAATGTTTTTAAGCGTGCTATATATCGTGCTCCGAACATCATATGACGTCATATCATATGAAACATCATCATGAGAAAACCATAACATGATACCGAGAATGACAGAGATCGAGAGAATGTCTACTTCCACCGGTGAATATCCACAATCACGTAGTCACTTTTGTAAAAGTCCTATACTAGGACATAAAATATATACTAGGACTTGTTAAGTGCCACTTCCTGGTATACATTTGCTCGGTATGCCCTACATCTATGTTTTTTTAAGGTTCAGTGCCACTCCCCGGTAATCCGAACACTTATGTTTCTCATAATCTATCCTCAGCAGATATTAAAATGTCAACAAATAAATTAATTTAAAATATTTCAGACATTCACCAAAGTGATTGTTGACATTCATCTGTGATTCTTTTGATCATTCATGGTAACTTTATTTTAATAAGGCATCTTTTTCAATGTTAAGAATAATTCTTGGCCATAGATGGTGCCACTGAAATCACAAAAACAATCGCCTAAACAATCAACAGCAATATTAAGTATGGATTATGAGAGAGGAAATCCTGTATACACTTTCTTTATCACCATTACTGATATTTATTCTAAATTAGCCACTTTATGATAGCCTTTAAATTAATAAATGTAAGTTTCTAATATCCATGTAAGAATATTCGATGCAGGATAGAAATCTTTTAAAATCATAATAATAGGGGAGAGTGGGGTCAGTTGTAACAGGATAAAATTGTAACAGAGCAGAAATTTCGAGTGTCGGGCTCCAGATTTGGTTCCTAGGTGGCGCACAAGGTGTATTTAATAAATCTACATGTACATCCCTGCTGGCAACCATTTTTATGTATTTTTGAAAGAGTTACATCACAAATGATATTTTCACGCTACGTAAGTACTTTTTTTTGGTATTAGAATATTATATTGTAACAAAGTAATTTTGTTTAAACAAATAAAAATTATTAACCGAATATATAAGTGGACACCTTAATTAACATTTCCAAAAAAAAAGATAAGTTTTGTTATTTAACTAGCATTGTTTTTAAGAAATGAAGCTAAAATGGCATCTTGGGGACGATTGTAACAGCTGGAAATAAATAATCTTATGTTTACAAACCATTACTTAACTCTTTAGGAACCACCAATAGTTTCCTACATCATTTATATTATGATGCGTGTGCATTTTTTTATTTGTCACCTTTCGCAGCATAAATTAAAATTTTTAACCCCTTAAAGTTAAAAGTTTAACCCTTTAGGTCTCTGCTCATTATTATTTTTACTCCTAAAATATCACTACTATTTTGATCAATAAAAAAATATATCACAACTATGATAATATGTATAATTAACTATGTTTTAGTTGAATTTATGAACTGTTACAATTGACCCCGTAAGTGGGGACAATTGTAACAAGTGCACGACTGTCAAAAATTGTTAATAACTGATATAATAACATTTAAAATAAGGTATTTATTTTTCTTTCTAGTAGAGAATAGTCTTCTTTACTCGTCTGTCAATTAATACTAATAATATATTGGATTTAATGCTAGTTAAATATAGTTAAGTAAAAAATTTTACAATTGACCCCACTCTCCCCTACTTTAAATTATTGTCGTACGAATTCCAAAATGTTCTTACGTTCCACGATTAATTCAGCAGTTGTGGTGTCGGCATTCGTTTTGCAGGTGTATTCCCCCTCATCAGCCAGTTTTGCACTTTTAAATATGAGCCTTCTCTTCCTACCTTCTTGAGTAATGTCGAATCTAAAATTAGAATATTTTTAAAGGATTACTAAACTATGCAACATTATTTTCACCACAAAAATTATTATTTTATGCTGTTTTGAAAAAAGACATTTAATAAAATTCAATGCCTATGTTACCTGCAAAGATTGAAATCCGGCATTCTATAGAATGACTAGGCATTGTATAGAATGCCTAAAACTAGCCGGCAATGTATGAAACGATTTATATTTCGCACATTTCCTAAGCATTCTATAGAATGCCAAGTGAGAAACGGGCAAAGTATAAAATACATCTCCGATTCTTCAAAATGTCATTCAAAAATGTCAAATTCAAAATGTCATTCCGGCCAGACATGCTGCAACAAGTAGGTTCATTTCTGATTTTTTACATTAACATTTTGTTTCCCTTAATCAGAAAGACATAAATTATGTTTTCTACAACTTTTATTTTTTTTACCTCATTTTGAATACATTTTTTTTTAATGGCACTCTCATTATTTTTTCAGAATAAAATTTTTTAAAGTCAGATCCTTTACATAATAACCTCATCAAGAATTTCTTTTTAATACTATGGCATTTGTCATTCTATAGAATACCTAGGTATTATATACAATGACATGGGAAATTTTGTAATACTTCTCATATTTCATACCTTGCCTAAAAACATCCGGTATTATATACAATGCCTAGGCATTCTATAGAATGTCAGCGTTTCATACTTTGCCGGTAACACATGCATATTTCCCTTTTATAGTGTCCTTCGGCAATTGAACTGTTATTAATTGAAATGGGCACATTGTTTTATAATATCTTTAAACTTCGCGTAGGGCAGGTACAATAAGTGGACCAGAAGTGCTTCATAATGGTAAGCGCCGTAAGCAAAAGGTTGATAAATTCATCATCTTGTGCACAGTTGACAAAAAAGCTTGTCGAAAATCACATTTATATAGTGATTTAACATTACAAGAAATGATTGATATAACTGAACTTTTATGTGTGGAATGCAATTTATACCGTAAACTCTATCACTAAAATAGGAAACAGCTGCTGCCCTATCAACTGTATTCTTCAATGATAGCGTCGTAACATAAAATAATATTTTTAATTAATACAAACAAAGTTCCAATTTTCATTCGGAAAAGATCAAACATGAAGAGCATGTTAACTCTTTTAGGGCCTGGAGGGGGGTGACTACTCATCAATTTTATTTAATCTTTAATGTCGATAAGACCCCCAATAATTTCTTATCTCGAATCTGTTTATAATTTCAGAAGATAATAGTATGAAGGATTTTCTTTACTAATCCATTTTGTTTAGTAAAGGTTTGCATGGGGTCAAGAAGAGACGCCAACATATTAGGGAGCTATTTTGTTTGGACATTATGCTTTTGTTTGCTTATCATCTAGTTTATTTTATAAAAGTTATTGAACAGTAAACCCAAATTTCAGGTTTTTCGACTACTAATGATCAAATCCGTAGCCTTGTCATTTTGAACTCAATCCAGAAGACAAGGAATCTCCTGGATCAAGTATTGGGGGAAATTTGACTTCGTGGGGACTTTTTGATGGAACTAACCCGCATCTGCGTTGCATGGAGAGAAAAATCGCGAAAACCACCGACGGTTAGCCTGGCGGCAAGGGACTCTAAACCAGTGTTTACGTCAGTACTGTGGTCGGTGCGAAGGGGGTATAGAATTCGCATCGACCAGCCATCGCTGGGATTCGAACCCGGTTCACCTCAATAAGAAGCGAACTCTCAATCCCCTGACCCCCACGGCTTCATCGAGTTTATTTACAGCTTTAAACACAGAATTTATAAATTTGGCTATATATATTAGCACATAAGTTCAAATGTATCTTTCACAGTTGACTAAATTTTGCCCACCTTCAAATGGTCATAAAAAAGAAACAAATAAATTTTATGTGATAAACTAAATAAATTTCGCTCTAGAAAATCAATTCCAACAGCAAAAACATTTAAAAAATAACACTTCTAGAAAAGAAATCTAGAATTTAATCTAGAAAAAGATAAAGTGGTTCGATTCGGTAATTGTTGAATACTCAAAACCACGAGTTTTATTGTAAATCTCACTTTTTGTCTTTGCTTTTGACAAGTTCTTGATCTCCTTTGAACCATTTCACCATGGCGTCATATTCATCGACTTCACACTCCAACACCACTTTTTCTTTTTCCATCACTTTCATACTTTTCAGAGGGCGCAGGAACTGGTATTGTTGCTCTGAAACAAATACATCATCATGAAATGTATCCTCAAGTAGTATAATCATATTATGTATAGCAAAATTTTACCATGGGCAAAACTCCATAGAAATATCCTATTGCATTTTTTATGGCAAATTTTCCTAAGAGTAGTGACACATAGAATTAAAATTCATTCTGTAAGATGGATTTTATTTCTAAGTGTCTCTATATATTTAGATAAACTATGCTTTCCTTCAAAATCCACGCAACGTTGAAGTGTATTTTTCGAAATTGATTCCGATCTTGTGATTTGTGAATTTTCGAAATTTCTTTTCGAAATTTGTGAAGGGTCCGATTAAATGATAAATTATTTTGTGAAGGGTCCGTTAACGGACCTAAATTTCTTCTAAACAGATCCCTGCTTATATAATTTTTTTACTGTCACTCGAAAATATAAATACAGGAGAGAGTAGCCTGATGACATTAAATTTTAAATGTCCTGTTTTGCCTCGAACAGCAGCGTTATTCCAGATGATACTGAATACAGTTAACCTTTTTAATGGGGATTGAATTGAATTGAATGTAAGATTTAATGGTACAAGGTTCAGAGAGGACATGCTGCGACAGACACACGTTTCTTTTAATGGGATGAACAAATAAATGCGTGTTTCACTTAATATAATAAGGTAAAGCCACCGAGAAGAACATTAGATTTTACCTTTATTGCTTGTGTCAGTATTTGTCTTACCGTTTCGTGCACGGTTGGGTCGTTCAGTACTGATTTATGGATGCTTATTTTTTTCCACCTGGTCCGAAAAACTGGTATTCAACTAGTTTACTAGTAATTTATTCGCAGTATTAATTGTAAATCGCTCATTTATTTCAAAAAAATTCATTTTTAGATGAAANACTATAGTTAAAAAAATAAAATTTAAAAAAAATAAACAGCAATTACAGCTACTAAATTAGCGATGCAACATATAAATATTGGTATTTAGCCCATACTGCTGAACGCAGAATAGTCATTTCGGACGAATAAAGGAAGAGGCTTCTGCCGAAGATAAAACTTAGTTCGTTTACATCTGTCTTTCTCTCCCCCCCCCCATTCCTGGAAAGGGTTTATTTGTTTAACAAAACAATAATGAAGATAAACAAATTTGTGAAGGGTCCGATTAAATGAACAATTATTTTGTGAAGGGTCCGTTAACGGACCTAAATTTCTTCTAAACAGATCCCTGCTTATGTAAATTTTTTTACTGTCCCTCGAAAATATAAATACAGGAGAGAGTAGCCTGCTGATGGTATTAAGTTTTAAATGCCATGTTTTGCCTCGAACAGCAGCGTTATTCCAGATGATACTGAATACAGTTAATCTTTATTTTTATGGGATGAACAAGTAAATACGTGTTTCACTTAATATAATAAGGTAAAGCCACCGAGAAGAACATTAGATTTTACCTTTATTGCTTGTGTCAGTATTTGTCTTACCGTTTCGTGCACGGTTGGGTCGTTCAGTACTGATTTATGGATGCTTATTTTTTTCACCTGGTCCGAAAAACTGGTATTCAACTAGTTTACTAGTAATTTATTCGCAGTATTAATTGTAAATCGCTCATTTATTTCAAAAAAATTCATTTTTAGATGAAACCACGATACCTGAAACGATGAGCTTTGTAGAAGTTTTTTCTTCTTCATTAATTTTGCACGTATAATCCCCGGTGTCTTCGAGACGACACATTTGAATTTTCAGTGTCTTGTGTCCAAAGGTGTCAGAATCCAAAACATATCGTTCACTAGACTGAAAAAGTAAGTAAAATTAGCGATCTATTAGTAAAGGCCATTATGTACTTATCCAATTTGACACAAGGAAGTCATTTCGACAGCTTTTTAATTTTAATTAGAAAAACAATAATGACACAATTTCTTAGAATTTTGTCACTTTTTGTTCGACATATAAATTTTTTTATCGTTAATATTTACTAGACACTTGTTATATAACTGTAAATAACATAAAAAATATTAAATATTAATTTTAAACAAATTCCTTTACGCATTATTTATTCTTTCACAATCCTGTCATTTTACTGCTTTTAGGCAATATATGTAGGTATTTTCTAAGTTTCAGTCCTTCTAATGTTAAAAAAGCATATTAATTAGTCACCTTTAATATGATGTTTATCTAAGTTAAATTGAAAAAAATACCGCTCTTTTGTTCACCTATTTCACCGTGTTAATAAAAATTTTTTTTTTTAAAAAGTGTCTTATTATTTTAACTAAATATAAATGTTAATACTTATATTGACTATATAAAAACAATGTCTGCTTAAAAATGTTAGATNATAATAAGTAGATTTTTAAAAATATTTAATTGTTATTAATAATATTTTTAAAAATATTAAATAAATAATAGAAATTCGGGCTACAATTAACTTAATGTGCACCTATGTATTAAACAATTAATGTACAACAGATATCTAAATGTTAAGATATTAAACTTACATAGTAGCACACAAAATATTCAATGAGAAAATTGAGGTTTGTCTGCTGCAACCACCAGAGAATAGATATTTATATTTTAAATTTAAAATTTACAAATGTGTGTGAAGATATTTTCGTCTAAAATCAGTGGTTTCAAAAAGTTAAATCGGAGAATTTCTTCGAGAAAATTTCTGATACGCACATGCTCAGTTATATTCACAAAATACAAAAAAAAATTAAATAAAAATTAAGTAAAAAAGAGCAACATACACGACTATATTTGTATTTGAATAAATATTTTCATGACTGCAAAACCTGAGAAATAAATTATTTTGTACCGTTGGTATGCTAAATTTCACAGATACGAAGAAATTAGGTTTTTATTAACGAGAAAAGTATTTTAAACCCATATAGATTTTTTTACGAAAATTGTCCGCAAAAAAATGACAACTGATATATTTTAGTTTGCGGGCCACAAAAAAAAAGGCTTCGCGGGCCGCCAGTTGGAAACCCCTGATCTATAAGTAAAGGCCATTATGTACTTATCCAATTTGACACTAGATTGCACAATGTATAACACTTATGCATAACACTTAATAAGTTTGTCGTATGTAATTGACATACAACTATACATTACATTAATGCATCTCATACATGTTACAGTATTATGCATCAATGCTTTTCTTACATTTTACGGAATGATATATGTCATAGTAATGCATTTCATGTACGTTGCGATACTATGCATGCAGATTATTATTTTTATTTTCTTATTTTTTATTGTATACACATTTCATTAACGTTTATAGGTTTTCGTCAAAAATACTCCTTTAGCACTAGATTTCCCAAGGAAGTCATTTCGACTGCTTTTTAATTTTAATTAGAAAAACAATGATGTATATAATGACACAATTTCTTAGAATTTTGTCACTTTTTGTACGACATATACATTTTTTTATCGTTAATATTTACTAGATATACTAGATATAATTACTAGAATATATTAATATTACTAGAAACTTGTTATATAACTGTAAATAATACAAAAAATATTAAATATTAATTTTAAACAAATTCCTTTACGCATTAGTTATTCTTTCACAATCCTGTCATTTTACTGCTTTTAGGCAATATAGGTATATACTAAGTTTCAGTCTTGCTAATGTTAAAAAAGCATATTCATTAGTCACCTTCAATATGATGTTTATCTAAGTTAAATTGAAAAAAATACCGCTTTTTTTGTTCACCTATTTCACCGTGTTAATAAAAAAAATTTTTTTTTAAAAAGTGTCTTCTTATTTTAACTAAATATAAATGTTAATACTTATATTGACTATATAAAAACAATGTCTGCTTAAAAATGTTAGATTTAACACAACCAATAGCTGTTTAGTAGTTAAGTTTACAAATAAAAAGCGATGAATACTTATTAATTTTAGTTCATAAAAACAATGAATGCTTCACAGTTTTAGTTTACACATAAAAAGTGAATTCTTAACAAGTTTCGTACACATACAAACACGATGAGTACTTATAAGTTTTCAAATACGAATAAAAACAATGAAGGTTTAATAATTTTAAGATTACATATGAAAACCAAGAAAGATAAATAGTTATATATTGCTCATAAAAATAATGAATGCTTCATTAAACACAAATATTCATGACTAAAAGGTTTAGTTAAAAAAACAATGAGTGGTGGTTAATAGTTCTAGCATTTATAAAATAGATATGAAATTTTTTTTTTTAGATAAGAAAATTAGTTCTTAAGAGAAATTCATTTTTTTCAAATTTAAAATATTTTTCTTTAATATTTCTGATGGCAAATTATAAGCAGTTACAGCAGTAAACAATAAAAAGAAAGAATACAGAGTACAACAAAAAAATGCTGAAACAGGGTTCATTAATCTAACATATCTCTCTAGCCTCCCAATAACGCTCTGCGAGAAAAGTCCTGCCCAGAGCAGCACAGTGGAGTCTATGACCTCTCCAAAGCTGAACAGAGTGCATATCTGGGAATTTGAGTCTATAAAGATGGTTTCTTAGGCAGTCATGTCCGGTAGCTAGTCGGAATTCAGCCACTGATCTACGCCGTGGGCGATTACACAAATGTGGGTTGGCCTTCTTCCAGGACTTTAGGGAAACACGGTTATAGAGGTCTTCTTGAGATATTGCAGAGCCATAACAGATATTTTAAAAAGATTTTAATACAGTCAAACCCCGCTATAGTGAACACGGCTTACAGTGAATTCCCGGATATAGTGAACGAAATGTTCTCTCACGTGCTTGGCTACACGCGTATAATGTTATTTTTTGCGGATATAGTGAAGGGAAAAAAAGAGAGGAAGTTGAATATTATTTTCTGTCTTTGACTGATTTATTTTCTTCGTTTATAATAAATATTCGTAATAATTTTGAAATTTCTACCTATACCGATTTTTAAAACCATCAATAGCATGGAATGTAGCAATAAGCATGTTTTCTTGTTTGCTGCCATATTAAATTGGTTCAGCATTCAAAGAAGTCTCAATCTTCCAGTATCTGGGACAAATGCTTTAAGTCAAAGCCAATAAATTTTCTAAGAGACTACTTTTATGTGCTCGAATGACTGGGTTTAAAAAGTGGAATAACAAATTCCAGAAAAATTATCGGAGAGTCGGGAAGTGTTTCCATATCTGATGTTGAGGATTGCTCATCAGCTAAAGATTATAAATTTTTTTTGTACGCAAGACGAATATTAATAAAAAGTAAAAGTTAACACCTTTTTGTTACTACATATACATACATTTTGTTACTACCTATTATTTTTCAGTCATTTTTGTATTTCATTTTAATAATGCGTAATAAAAGGGGGATTTACCCTTAGTTAAAATTGCTTGTAGAACGGATATAGTGAAGTCCCGGTTAGAATGAACCAAAATTTCGGTCCCTTGAAGGTTTACTATAGCGGGGTTTGACCGTAGTATGGAAGGGCATAGGACGAAAAATTCTTAGCATAATTAAAGCACCTTTTTAAGTCAGGAATTTGGCTTTCCCGTTGTCTTTTTGAAATATTGTAATATAAAAAATACTGAATGTAAAATGAGTCCAATGCATATTCTACCTGAATCAATTGATTTCCTTTGTACCATTTGACTGGAGCTTTTGAAGAATTGCATGTACATTCCATAACTGCTTCTTTCATAGTGTATTGTTCAACTCTTGGGGGTAATTTTTTTATAATTTTGAAAACTGGATCAGGTGCTAGAAAAAAAATAATTCCAACAAAATTATTCACCAATGAAAAGAATCATGGCCAAGCAAAATTATTTACCAATCAAGGTAATAAAAAAAATTGAATTGTATAATCCGTAACGAAATATTTTAATCACAGTTTTTTGACCGGGTCCTTTACCTCATTCCACCACACTTTTTTTTCTTCTTTTCTATTTTTACTTTTTTTCTTATTCAACTTTTTTTTCCTAATAACAACTTGTTCGTAATGTTTCTGTACATCTTTGTGCACTAAAGAATTTACTTCATTATGGATTTGAAACTGCAATGCGGAGATGTTTATGTAACGTTTCTTGTTTTCGCGTTATTTAGTTTTGTACCTATCTAGCACAAAATTAAGTCGTTCATTACATGGAAACAACATCTAATTTTTCTTAATTTTTAATAATTAAAATGGATGGAACTTAAATAGTCAGTTTATTACGGAGACTTTAGGTATTCGTATAATTTAAACATTTAAAAAACTGGTTTTTCTCTCAATAATATTAAAAAAAAGGTTTTTACACCTAACGATAATAAGCAGATCACCGAAGTCAGGCATCACTGGCTGGAGTCATAGTGTTGAAGGGTGGCCATTTTGATCTCCTTGCGAAATGACCGATGGTACGCGGTATATTGTTCTACCATAAAGTGCTTAACTTCGTAAGAAGGTCGTCGGGCTATCGAAAGCAGGGGTGCCATACCCTCTGCAGAGGATCAAAATTGTGATGGTCTTCGGATCATCCTCAGGGATGTTTCCCAGACAGTCGCCAATAGCCCATTGTGCAGTTCCAATTCGGCGTAATTAAGCTACAACCACAAAATAACAATAATGACACAAGCACAGTTATACGATTGTTTCTGTGCTATAACGAAGTGCTTCAGTAGGTAAGTCGACATATAAAAAGCAGGAATATGGATGGAGAACAAAATAGTCAACAACAATTACGAGAGAAAGGGACGGTAGGGTGAAAGTTGGTCTTTTTCCTTGTTGTAACTTGTTTGGAATTCTTTCTGCATCTTTGTGTTTCTCTCAACCATTCAGTGGCAGTTAAAGTAGTGACATTTCTGAAACGATCCTAAGCATGTTTCTGTGGCATTATTTATGATTTTTTTCCCTTTATGCTAGCTTCATTTACATACCGAAGTTAACTCTTTTAAATCGTTGCTTTCAAATGAAAGCAAGACAAACATAAGATTTCTGTGATTTGTTTATAGTTTTAAAACTATTTTTTGTGTTCAGACAATGTTCAGATGAGAACCACTCACCGTCCACTTCCAAATAAGCAGCGGATGAGACTTCATTGATTTGTATGGTGTATCGAGCCTCGTCATCCATCGTTGGCTGGTTAATCTCCAAGACATGGAGGTCACCCTGGGCAGATATATGGTATCTCTTCCCCATGTAGATCTCTTGTTTGTTTTTGAACCATTTGGCTTTGGCGTTGCTCCTAGAGAACACGGCTTCAAATCGAACTTTCTTGTCTCGTCCTTCTTTGATGTGTTGATCTTCTATCTTCTTTACAAAAAAGTCTGCTTTCTGTTTTAAGAAAAAAAATATGAATCAGGTTGGATAATTAATATTGCATTTTCCAGAGCAGAATTAGGACAGTTTAAGTGGTGGCCTCTTTTTAAACGCTTTTCTGATTATCCCGAGTTAGCTAGGGTAGTGTTCCCCAACCCCCGGTCCGTGGATCAAATGCTACCGGGCCTGCCCATTTCATTAAAACTGAATTTAAATTACTAGGCTTATACCCCAAAATAAAAATAAATCCGAAATTAAAAATAGTTCTATTAAAATTTTATTTATTTAAAAAAAAGAGGCCCCCCGAAGGCAGTGACATAAATTTTTTAATGTTTTAAAAAGTAAAAAAAAAAAGAAAAAGAAAACCAATTTTCTCTTTCAATTAGTTTTAATTTATAAAAAATAAATCATCATAACTGTAAATATCATAAATAAAACACGAAAGCGTGGCGCGAAATTTACATTGGAACTAATGAAGAACTTAGGCTTCTCTCTCGATCGTGACTCACTGATTAAGTAANTCAGGGTTCTCATTGATTTAACGTTCTAGTAAGTTAAAATGTTAAATCACTTTATATTTATTTTTTGGTGTAACTATTTTATTTTGAAGACATGTTTAAATACAATTAAATTAAAATTAATAAATCAAAATAATCTAAAATATAAACAATCGACGTCCCCTCCCCCCAGCGGGCCGCGGTAAAATTATCAAGCGTTGACAGGTCCGCGGTGATAAAAAGGTTGGGGAACACTGAACTAGGGTATTTATATATTGCAAATATTTATTATCCCCAGTAAACTGGAGCATAGCAGAATTCGTCAATACGTTTTGTTTTACCACAATTTTACTCGGCCGGAAATTAAAACAAAACATAATGAGATAATCTTCTGTTATTGGAAGTTTGCCAATTTTTGTTTAAAAGTTTTGCTATTTGGGACTGCAGATGTGTTTTTTGCTATTGTATATACGATGGCTGGCTGAATTTACATAGAAAAAAAAAGAGTAAAAAAAATGGCGTTCGAGAGTGAAAATAAAAGTAATGCAGGTGTTATTTTCAGATGATGAAAATGTGTACATATACAAAGACTAATATTTAACTTTTTTTCATTTGCCCGAGATCATTTGGAATAGTAAAATGATGGTAAATGAAATATTTTTTACCCATAAAACAATTAAAATTTCCTCTTAAATTTTGTATATTCTATTTTGTTTTAGTTTTTTGTATTTCTTAATGAAAAAAAAATATGTTGAGTTTTTGCATTTTTTTTCTTCAAAAAAATTTATAAGAGAAGCGGTTAAGACATGCGGACACTTTTCCGAAAATTTAAAAGTCTAAAAAAACTGAATTGATATTAATAACACTAAGTAATTTCTTCAAAAGCATTTATCCAAACATAAAAACTCAAATTTGATTTTACGACTATCAATGTTCAACTCCATAGCCTCGTAATTTTGAACCCAACTCACAGGTCAAGGGAACTTCTAGATCAAGTTAGACTTCGAGGAGAACTTTTTGATTGAAATGATCCTCATTTGCTTTATAAGGTAAGAAAAACCATCAAAACTCCCGACAGAAAGGGAATTCTAACCCATAATAAATTTACCATTGAAGATATTTTTCGTCAGCACTGTGACCGGTACAAGCCGGTAACAGAATTCGCATCAACCAGCCACGAAGGTTCTCCACTAAGGTTAGTTAGTCTCAATGCTTCATTCAAGATATTTCTTGTCTTCTAGATTGGGTTTAAAATGACAAGGCAGCGGAGTTGTAGCTTGAGAACCATAAACTCAGAATTGGGTCGACTGTTCAATAAAATTATAAAATAGGTGAAAAAACACCAGTGTAGGATATACCGGGCAATGGCACTTAACCAGACCTAGTATGACTAGACCTTTGGTAAATGTCCGAAATATAAACTAGGTCTAGTGCCACTTTTGCTATAGCTTAAATATTAAAAAAAAATTAAACAAAGCGTTTGAATCNAGCTTGAGAATCAAACTCAGAATTGGGTCGGCTGCTCAATAAAACTATAAAATAGGTGAAAAAACTTCAGTGTGGGATATACCGGGCAATGGCACTTAACCAGACCTAGTATGACTAGACCTTTGGTAGATGTCCGAAATATATACTAGGTCTAGGGCCACTTTTGCTATAGCTTAAATATTTAAAAAAAATTAAACAAAGCGATTGAATCAATTTTAAACTGATACCTAAATTATTGCTTTAAAAGTAAAAAAAAATAAATAAAACTGCGCCAGATAAGAGTAATTGAAGTATTTGCTTCATACAGCGCATGTGCGGGAAAAAAATTATCCAGGTGCATCTAAAAGTGGATGAATATCCCAAGACACCCTGTGGCTGTGTGTGACACAAATTGCCCACTTGACTTTTAGCATTATACATAATGACCGGGTAATGTAATAATTTCAACATAATTTATCATTTTGTCATATCCTTTTGGGCATTTTTTAAATTGCCCGGGCATTATAAACAATGCCCAATTATTTACATTGCCCGTGACATATATATTGCTTTTATTGTTTACATAAATAAACTTGTTTACTTTGAGATTTCCAATGGACGGTCGTCTTTCTTGTTCACCAGGCTTCAAACCACCCCAATCTGGATCTTCATCACCTTTTCCCCACTTTGCATATTGCCTAGAAAAAATTTTAAAAAAAGTTTCTCTGAAGTAACAATAATTCTCAAAATGTCCTAAAAATTCCTCTCGGATATTTGCACTTTAATTTTCAATATTATTTTTCATTGAAAAAAAAATTTAGAATTCAAAAGAGAACTTAGAATTGAAATTTTGAATTCAAGACTGAAAAAGAATTCTTCCAAAAAGATCATTACTTCCGAATATTATTTTTCATTGGAAAAGAATTTAGCAACTCCAAAAAAGTAATTTGAGGGATATTGGTGAAAACTTTTAATACAGAATTTTTCCGCGTGCAAAATATTGTTGTGCATCATCTCGTTTACAAAAATATAGTTTGGATCAAATTTCGCAGTGTACAGTGGGCCAGCATCCAAGGTTTCGTGGCCAAAATTAGTATTTCGATAAACTTTGTTTTAAAATTTGTGGTTTTTATTTAGGGTTTTTATGTGCAGGTAAAGTGAATTCATAGTTAAAATTTTGAAATACACTAAAAATATCCCAAAAAACAAAATGGAGGCTGAAATATGGCGAGTAAAAGTAAAAAAAATAATATAGTACGTTTAAATAATTAAATATAGCAATGAAAATATAATAATTTTGGTAATTTTATATTAAAAATGAAAAGCAAATTATATTTCCGAAGTAATATTACAAAATAACGCGAAATAATTACAAAATAACGCGAAAACATGAAAAAAAAAAAANCATAATTTTTGTTTTTGGTATATTTAGTCCACCTTTGCAATACGGGCAAAATGGGGCAGGTTTTTTCGAAAGAAGAAACATCAAAGAAGACAACAAAAAAAAGTTTAGCTAATTTCGTCGTGGAACTTTTAGGAACTAATTTTCAAAAGTCATTGAAACATTGTAAAATGTCAAGATATTAATTATAAGTTTGTCAAGAGTATTAACTAATCCAACACATTGAAAAATTGTACTATAATTTCAGACTAATAACTCTGTAACAGTAAAGTGAAATTCCTATATATATTTCTGAAATAAAAATTTAAAAGTTACAATTAAAAAAAATCTTTTAACATATTTTTCATTAGATTGTACTCTCGTCGGTCCAAAGAGTAAATTATAATGTTTGGAATGATTATGAATACTAAATTTTGGCTCTATTAAAACTGCCTACACATATATAAGTTGAAAATTTAATTTTTGACTTTTGGCCAAAGATCAATGGTCTTATGACGCACAGTGCAGTGATAAAATACCGAACAACAGAATGCCATCTGAACAGCATCTTTTCTTTCGTAAGAAAAAAATAAATTCACAAAGTATTAAATTTTTTTACCCTGTTATTTGGATTGGGGGATAAAATCCTCTGTAGAAAAAATCGATAAATTCAAAGCAGAAAAAGAACTTTTTTTTCTATCCTTAGTATAGCTCAGATTTAGATCTCATTCTCAATTTGTTTTGGTTGTCATCAACATAAAGGTTTTTCTTTTCTGTAAATATTTTTGTATCCCTAATTTAAAGTTGCTTCCCTGCACTGCTATTACTACGCTTTTAATGAAAGAGTTTAAAACTAAGAGATTTTTTTAAAATTATTTTTATACACTTCTGCGCTACATATTAAGATAAAGTTATTTGGAAAGGTGGTATAACCGTTTTACAATTAATATATTTTGTGCAAATAACACTAATATACTGTTATAAATGACAGCTAAAGAGATCTGTTAAATGATTTAGAGCTTTACGATCAGCTTCATGCACACTGAGATGCAAGCAATCATAGTATTTGATAAATTCCGCTAAATTTTCGCAATTAAGATGGATAAATTTGGTTAATCAAAATCCTGTATCTTTACATATCGCAAAAAGCGATTTGCTTTCAAAAATATAGGAATTATTAAATTATTAAATGCGAAATTATTAAATGACGGTTGTGAAATTTGTTTTATAATAACATAATGTTATAACAATATAAATGTTATTTTAAAGAATGATTATTTAGAAAAATGACTTCTGTTCACCCATAGATCTAAATATTTATAATACTTATAAATAATAATACTTGGGAAGTTAAGGCACACATGTAAGAAACAGAATTCCTTTTAGTACATAATATGTTAAGTGATTAATTTTAACTTTAGTAGAAAAACTGTTTTCCGCCAAGAAATTATTACACAGTGATATCGGGGTTGGCGAGCGGCAGCGAATAAGGGGCTTAACCCCCTTGTTCTTTCACAATTAGACAAAAAACAATTCATATTTACCTCCTCTTCAACATCGCTCTAAAATCCATTCCACTCTCATCTGAAACAACCCATTAGATTAATGTTTCAAACTGGAACTAATTTAGACAGACATGAAAGGTATGTGTGTGTATAATAGATACCTGAAACAAACAAGCTTTGTTCAATGCTATCTTCACCCAGTTTGTTGTAAGCCACAATCTTGTATCTTCCCTCGTCAGATGACTTTGCCTTTCGGATGCAGAAATAGACGGAATTGGTCTCTCCATCTGTCACCACTTTGTAACGACCCCCTTCGAATATTTCAGACTCACCTTTGTAGAATCTGAACTCAGGAGGGGGGTTACCTTCCACCTGTATACACAAGTAGGCCGTGGCTCCTATACAAAAAGAGATAAAACAAATGTTATCATTCTTACTAAAAGTATTTCATATATAGTATTATCTCATATACAGTAAAGTATTCAAAGGGAAATTATTCAAAACCACATTACCGTGAAGGGTCGAAATCAAGAGAATGTCGACTTTCACTGATAAATGTCAACCATAACATAGTCACTTTGATGAATGTCCGAAATGATATTTTAATACCTGCTGAGGATAGATTAGCAGGGGTCTGTCCAGACATTTTGTGAAGGGTCCGTTTTCGTAAAATTGTGAAAAAATGACTCGGAATTTGTGAATATATAAAATAAACGTTAAGTCACATTCTTTCAACCAGGGTCCGCTTTTGTGAATGTGTGCAAATAGGGTCCTGTTAATGCAAAAAAACTTTTTCAAGGAGTTTTTAAATTGTAAAGATATACAAGATTATGCTCAACACTGCAAAATTATAATTAAAAAATTAAATTTTAAAAGATAAACAGCAATTGCTGCTACTAAATTAGAGATGCAACAAATATTTGGTATTTAGCCTATACTGCTGAACGCAGAATAGTCATTTCGGACGAATAAAGGAAGCAGCGTCTGCCGAGGACAAAATGTAGTTCGCTTACATCTGTCTTCTCCCCCCTCCACTTCTTGGGAAGGGTTTATTCGATTAACAAAACAATAATGAAGATAATAAAATTTGTGAAAGGTCCGATAAATAGATAAATTATTTTGTGAAGGGTCCGTTTTTAAGTTAAAATATTTTGTGAAGGGTCCATTTTGATGAAAAGATATTTTGTGAAGGGTTCGTTAACGGACCCAAATTTCTTCTAAACAGACCCCTGATTAGGAGAAACAGCAGTGTTCGGAGTACCGGGAAAATGCATACTGGGCATAAAAAAACAACAGTGTTGGGCATACCGGGCAGTCGCACTTAACTAAACCCAGTATATATTTCGGACATTTACCAAAGCGACTATGTGATTGTCAACATTCACTGGTGGAAGTCAAAAACCACCGATTTCGATCATTCACAGAAACTGTTGCACTGTTAATCCATTGCACTCCAACTTCTTTCAACTGTTAAAAAAACAGACGCAACCACTAAAATTTGAGACATTTTTTTAGACAAAACTCATTAGTTACATAAGTACTATATAAAAGCAGGGACCTATTAAATAAAGAGTTAACTCAATATTCAGCAGTAAAATTATTAACACATGAGTGTTAGGTTATTTATAGGTTAGAGTGGTGCCCGAGAGGCACCATTCGAGTGTTAAAGGATTTAAGTATTGGGAAGAAGAATCTTTTTGAGAAAAATGGAAACCATTCATTCCTTTCCATTTTTTTCGAATTGCAAAAAACTTAATATTTTTATACAACTGAAATCATCCATTTTTATTCGATAAAATAAGTCAGGTAGACTTGAAAACGATTGTCGTTAAAATGCATCGATTCCGTTTTCGGTGATAGGGGGAGTCATTTTAGAATTGTAATACTAATAAAATATTGTAAAGAGGACAGTTTCACGATAAAATAAATAATTTGTAATGAGTCTATTTTCGTAGTAAAAAAATTTCGGCAGTGTCCATTTTTAAGATGAAATAACTAATGATTAGTTTTTTTTCTTAGTAAAATAATTTCTGAAGGATCCATTTTCTAAGTAAAATAACTAGTGATGAGTGTTTTTTTCATTGTAAAAAAATTAATGAAGGGTCCATTTTCTAGGTAAAATAACAGGTGATGAGTGTTTTTTCATAGTAAAATAATTTCTGAAGGGTCCATTTTCTAGGTAAAATAACAAGTAATGAGTTTTTTTTTCATAGTAAAATAATTTCTGAAGGGTCCATTTTCTAAGTAAAATAACTGGTGATGAGTTTTTTTTCGTAGTAAAATAATTTCTGAAGAGTCATTTTCCAGGTAAAAGAATTTGTGAAGGGCCTATTCCAACGGTTATATAATATATGAAGAATCCAGTAAAATTTACAAATGGCCTGTTTTTACGGTAAAATAATTTGTGAATGATCCTTTAAATAGACCCCAGGTTACATCGAATAAATTGACGAACGTACCTTCAACAGCTGTGACATTTTCTTGGTAATCGACTATTGTGGGAGGGCATTCTTCGTCACCTGGAGTGGGTTTCAATGGTGTGGATGGTTTGTCAATACGTTCTTCCATTTCAGAAACACTGAAAAACAGACGAAAATAAAGTCATTACAAAATTTGTAATGATTACAAGTGTGGCAATTGGTTGCTATCAAAATAATTTGTTTTATAATCAGTATTATTTTTTGTCCTAATTTATAAAATAAATACTGATATTCATTTTAGAACAAATATCTGCAAGGATTCCATCCCCGGTAACGAAGTAGAGTAATTATTTTTCTGCGGAGAAAATTTTCCGCAATACTTTAAATGAAGCATGTTTACATATTTCCAAAATAATAATATTTCATTTGAATACATAAAGATCAGAAAATTTTAGAGAGATTCAGAAAACTTAAACTATAAGGCTGACAATGATTTTGCAATAAATAGTGATACATTAATCAATTATTATAATTATTACCCTCATTGAAAAGTCGATCCAATTTTTGGGTTTTCTCATTCATGTTCAACTCTATAGCCTTGTCATTTCGAACACATTCCAGAAGACAAAGGAACTCCAGGATTAAGCATAGGGGGAAATTTGCCTTCGTGGAAGACTTTTTGATGGATCTAACCCTCATTTTCGTCACGTGGAGAGGTAAACCACTACGGTTAGCCTGACGGCAAAGGGACTCTAACCCATGATCCGTCTACCAATGAGGATATTTCACGTAAGCACCGTGGTCGGTGCAAGCCGGATGCATATTCACCCGGTTCTCCTCATTGGAAGGCGAACTCTCTATCTGCTGAGCCATCGCGGCTCCATTAATCAAGTATGCAAATATAGTAATTTTTGTTGCAATCGAATGGCTCTTTTTTCTTCGTAGTATGTGCATTTTTCCAAAACTGTTTATTTCTTACTCCCGGTGGCTGAGTGGTAGTGTTTCGATCTCTCTCTCGCGCCACAGGTTCTCCCCAGTTCGATCCTCGAACCGGGCAAGGTTGACTCAGCCCTTCAGTGGGTTGATAAAATGAACACCAAGCATGCTTAGGAACTAAACACTGGGGATTCCACATTTGATTGACCGCCTAACAGGTCATGCACAACACAGCCCAAGGTCAAGAAAACTGAAATGGGCACAGTGAGCCTTGCTCCTCTATGGACTGTCGTGCCACTGATTTTAGTATTTATTTTTTCTTGAAACATCGGTAGAATTAAAATTAAGATAATCTTGATAATTCATCCAAAATGCAACAAAACCATAAAAATTGAAAGTTATGTGAAAAAACTCAGCTATATTTCTAAACAACTATACTAAGTATTAAAATTATTTCTAAAGGATTTATGTTCATTGAATAATTTATTATAATAACTGTAATTTATAATAATAACCATGATCGAGAATACTTTTCCTTAAATAATGAAACGGTAAAGCTCTGCCTCGAAATTGCCTTCTTGTGTGTGCGAAGGCTTAAATAAAACCGTAATAAATATTAATAATTTGATATTTAAACATTAGATTCTTAATCGAAGGCTAAAGATAATATTTTAAACAGACCATTTTAGGATAAGAAGTTAATAATTCTATTAAGAATGTTAAATACCTTGCTCTTCGCGTGTCGGTACTTGTTTTTCTTTTTTGTCTTACTTCAAGTACTTCTCCAGGTCGTAACTTTTGAACTTGTCCTTTATCATCTGTTAATAGGCCTTTCTGGAAATATAAATAAACAAATGGGTAATGAACTCAAACTTATAATTGCATGCTTTTTTTTTGTCAATCTGTCAATACAATTTGCAATACACTTTCAAAGATCTTAACATGGCAATAACTGGTGTTTGACAAAGAACTAATCACTAGCAGCATGACATGGTGAAGATAAAATATTTTGTTTCGGAAAAGAGAAAATTAAGCACTTTTTGAAAACAGCCAATGAAAAAAAGCACCTTTAAGGTCATTTAAAAACGAAAATAAGGAATTTTTAAAAACGTTACGCACCCTGACAGGTGCTCAAAAATGCTTAAATCCAAAGTTTTTTTTTTATAATTAAAATGTCATTATTTATATTATTTGAATTCATTGTTATTCAGTTAAAAGAACATTTGCTATCATGTACACAATTATGAATAGCGTCTCATTTTCAAAACACAAAGATTCACATATGTTTAAACGCAGAATTAAATTGCTCATAGGGAAAAACTTACTTCATCTGCCACAAATGTGATAGAGCCTCTTCGGCCACCACCAGGTGGCGTAAAAGGCATAAGACTGCTCCCAGAACCTCTCCTGCTTCCGGGAGCAGGGGGTTCCAAAGAGTTCTTTCGAACTGGAGGTTCTGGTGTGGCTTCCTTGACGATCGTGACTGGAGATCTTCCACCTTTTTTGCCCTGGTCGTCTGCAGTTATCTCTGGAACTGGTGGTGTCGTTTCCTTCTCGGGGGATTCTTCCTCTTCAGGGGCATCTGTTTTACCAGGAACTTTCTTTTTCTTTTTGACAACTTTCTTCACTTCAGCCTTTTTCCTTTCGGGTGCCTGATCGTACTCAATGACGGGCTGAAAAATAAATTTCAAATTTTAAATTAATGTCTTAAATTGCGACATCTGTTATGTATAGTTCATGCCTACTATAATGAAAGTTCGAAACATTTTCTTCTTATAGTTCTCAATCTATGTTGGCTTAGTTATGTAGTTTCGGCCTAAACTAAACTCAGTGGCACGGCACCCCATAGGGTGCCAAGACCTACTGAGCCCATCTCAGTTTTCTTGACCATGGGGCAGATATTCTCGTTTGGTGGACAGGCAAACGTGGAACCCCTAATGTTTAGTCCCCTAGCATGCTATCGACGCACCGAAGGGATGAAAGGCCAACCCTGAGATTTGAACCCAGGATCTGTAGCACGTGATTGCGAAGCATGCTTGGCTATAGTACATGCTCAGTCACCGGGCCACTTCCTACTCTTATTAAAGTCCAAAATATAGCAAAGAGACAAGTTTTTTTTTAAAATTTTTAATTGATGGTATAATTCAACGGCATCTGCTAACTAAAATAAATGAATGAAAAGTTCAGAAAACTTTTCCTCTTCAAAATCTACAGCTATAATTTTCTATTACAGAGTATCTACCTCGGGTAGAAGTACGAAATACGAAAATGAGGAAAATTCTTTTCTTAAAACTTTAATTGTAGTTCATTTACCTAGAATTTATCTACGAAAATGAAAGCAAGAAAAATTTTGCCTTCTTACTCTTTCAATTTATGATACACCAATTAAATAATTTATAGATATTGCAATAAAGAACAGAGTTCAAAATTTTGGAAAACTTTTCTTCCTTAAATTCTCGAGTTCGTGTGTGACCTAAAACTGTAAAATGTAATAAAATCGTGGATTTCGGTTGTATTTATTTATCCCACAATATCAATTTATTATATTTCCAAAATTACTTATGGAAAATATTTGGATGTACGAGGGTTGCTATTTATATTTCTGGCCTAATAATGAAAAAACAAACATGTAGGATCGAAATTGGTTTTATTGCTTTTCAAAATATTCTCCATGATGATCAATACACTTTTGCATGCGTTTGAAACAATTTTCAAAGCACTTTTTCCAGTCCGATAGAGGTAACTCCAAAACATGCGTTTTGAATGCATCAACCGCTTCTTCGGGGGTCGAAAATCGTTGTCCACGTAATTTATTTTTGATGTGTGGGAATAAGAAGAAGTCATTGGGTGCCAAATCAGGGCTGTACGGCGGATGACCCATCAGTTCGATCTTTCGCTCCGTCAGAAATGCCTTTGTTTGAGTCGATGTGTGAGAGCTCGCATTGTCATGATGAAGAATGATTCGCCTGTTCTTCTGCTTTTTTCGAATTTCTCCGATGACTTCTGGCAAACAAATGGTCGTGTACCATTCAGAATTGACCGTCCTGCGTTGCTCTAACGCCACTGTTGCCACATGACCGTTAATGCCGAAGAAACAGGCAATCATTTGTTTCGATGTGCTTCTTCCTCGAACAACTTTTGTTGGTTTTGCCTCGTCTTGGAAGACCCATACAGTTGATTGCTGTTTTGTTTCCGGCTCATATGCATAGATCCATGATTCGTCACCTGTGTAGATGTTATACACAGCCTTTGATGTACCTTGAACGTATTTTTCCAACATTTCCTTGCACCAATCGACACGAGCCTTTTTTTGAGCGTTTGTCAGATTATGCGGGATCCAACGCGAACAAATTTTTTTTACGCTCAAATGTTCATGCAATATTTTATTGATGCTAGTCATACTAATGTCCAAAGACGCCTCTATCTCACGGTATGTCACATGACGATCTTGCTTTATCAGTTCACGCACAGCATCGATCTTTTCTGGCACAACAACGGATTTTGGACGACCTGCACGGGATTCGTCCTGGATCGAACATCGACCACGATTAAATTCGTTATACCAATTTTTTACAGTGCTGTAGGATGGCGCTTTATCGCTGAATAAAGAATTAAGTTCATCGAAGCACTCTTGTCTTGACAATCCACGTCGAAAGTTATGAAAAATAATGGCACGAAAATGTTCACGATTCAATTCCATTTTTTGAAAGAGAAGAACTTTTCAATTTACTGTCAACAACACAAATGAAGCTATAATGGTAAATCGTCTGCTGAATTTATGTTTAAAAATATCAAACTTTCGATTAAAATCGTCTGCGGTTGCCTAGCAACACTTACTGTTGACAAGGCCTGAAATATAAATAGCAACCCTCGTACGCATTGGATAATGAAATCCTATTCAGTGTCTATAAATTATTTTTTGAACTAAATGCTATTATTACATCAATCACTTTTAACATAGTATAAACTATATACCATTCAAATTTAAAAACCTTGAGACTTACAGTCATCTTATCAATATGAGCTGCGAATGAATAAAAATGAAAGGAAATTACTTTAGATGTTAAAAATTCTACTTACTACTGGCTCTAGAGGAGCAATTTTACGAACTTCTAAGTCTTTCAGGTCCGGCATTTTCATACCCGGTTCTAAAAAATTAAAATAAAAATAAAAACATAAATTTATTTTATTTTTTAATTTTCATAGCAAGCATATTGTTGAACTTTTACCTCTAATTTCCATATCGTTAATGTTTTATTAAAATTCGATATATTTATTGATTATATTTCTGTATAGTTGTGAAGATCAAAACATAATTTGCACATTTTTTGGAACTACAAAACACATTTTGTATGTTACACATTTTGCGTGCTACATATTTTGTATGTTAAACAATCTAGTTTTTAGGAGTTATTAAGGGTAGTTCGTTCTTTATTTCGTGCCCTGTACTTATTCTTCTAAAGAGTTAGACGACGATTACTCAACAAACTAGATGTTTTACTGAAGGGTTAGACAGCAACTGCCAGACAGAACACACAGACGCAGTGTAAGTCACTTTTCGACTAACTAGTCAATATTTGGAAATTCAATTGAGAGGTAAAATTATTGCTATAAAATCTGCAAGTAATGATCAGAAAATGATTGAAACTTGAGATACCATTCAGTATAGAGCTCAATTTATAATAAAGGCACTCTAGCTAATCGGACAGTAATTGAAACTTTGATTGATAATAAACTTCATAAAGTAATAATACTGTGATAAATTCTGCTTGTGGAAAAATTGACAGGAAATAATTATCTGTTTATTTTATCATCAGGCTTGGAGCTCTAGTGGAGGTTCAAACACTTTTTGTTCGGAAAATGGTTGAAAATTTTACCAGTGATCAATTAACTTTGCAATAATATGGTGATAAATTCTGATTGTAGTGATCAGAAAATGGGTGAAACTTGGATTGTCGTCAAGGTACCTTTATAATCCGAGAAATCTAACAAAGTAGAAAATGGTCGGAAATAACAGGTGTTAAATTTCTTTCACTCATAATTTCACGATGCTGATTGCACCATTCGTGAAATTATTGCAAATAATATTGCAATTAGCATAGAGCTTCAGTTGAATTTTGAGAGCTCTTGCTAGTTTTAATCAGGTTAGAAAATTTTGGACGACCCTAAATTCTTTGCATCGCTATGAATTCTGCAGGAAACGATCGGCAAAAGGGTTGAATCCAGCATTGACACTGATCACGGAGCTTCCATCCGGGGATTTGAGTGTTCTAGCTAGTCGGAAAGTATTTTAATGCGTGACTACAAATTCCTTTGACTCTAACATACATACATCGAAATTCCGTCACAAAGATGGCAAGATTCCGTTGTGTTAATTAAAACTTAATAAAAGTACACTTTTTAGTTTACTAAGTTAAAAATATTTAAGTAATACGAAATATGTTAATAAAAAAATAATAATAAAAAGAATCTTTGTCCAGTCCAATTTTTGATAAAATTATCAATAATTTACTCTTTTAGTTAAAATTTTACTCGTTTAAGTTTCATTTTTAACAGATATTTTACTGAAACATGACATAATACTAAGAACTTATCAAGAGAAAAATATTGATGACTCATTATTTTTTTAACTAACAAGTTATATAAAAAAAAATTTTTTTTTAAAGTCAATTCCTGTTTCGGACAATTTTGAATCTAACAAAAGTCTTAAAAATAAAATCACCTTTAATGAATAGGGTTGCTTCTGTCTCCACTTTTCCGAACGAGTTGGAGACTTCGCAACAGTAGACGCCGTTGAATGAAGCTGTGGTTCTCTGCATAAAAATGGACGCCTTCTTACCGTCGAAATTCATTTTATATGACATCGGCTCATCAATAACGTGCTTATTCCTAAAAACAGAAAATACATTGTTTTTTTATTAATGAATTTAAACACTAGAATGTTCACGATATTCTACTTTCAGCATATGCAACAAGATTTTTAAAGAGAAACTTTTTTTCGTTTGAGTATGAATTTGAGCAATATTTATAGAAGTGGCGCCTGTGGATTATACTACGAATCATATACTGTAGATTATAAGTGTATTATGGAACGGATTATGCTAAGTATACTAAGGGGCTCGATCCTCTTCACACTACCGATGGACAACTAGTCAGCTTTTTATTTCGTGACGTTGCGAGGTTAATTGTTAACCAAGTGACAGCCAAAGAACAAATACACTACGGGCCATTAAAACTGCTGCACCAAGAAGGCAACACACGACGAACGTGAAATTTGAAGGACGGATAAAACATGTTGTTGTATGCAAATGATTAGCTTATCAGCGCATTCATGCAATTTGGCGACGGCAGCGGCACCTACAATGTGTATAAAAGAAGAGATTTGACTAAGTTTCTTATACAGAAATTGAATTTGAGCGTTGTACTTGGGTAAAAAAAGTTTTTGTTATGCCTCGTGTAAGAAGGAGAAATGCCTACCAGCACGTGTCTGAGTTTGATCGAGGTCGAATCGCGACCTTACCGGGATTGCGGTTTATCATTCCGAAATATTTCTGCTCGCGTTGGCTAAGATCCCATGACTGCCCCATGAGCAGAATATGGAATCGGTTGATTCATGACAGTCATATGGAACGCCTTGCAGGATCTCAGCGGCCCTCCACCACTAACAGCCGAGAAGATAGACATGCTATCCACATGGCCTTACAGGATCGTACAGCTACGTCACGAATCCTGATTCAACCAACGGGGTCATTTGCAAGACAATATGTGTCTGCACGAACAGTTCGGTGACGTTTGCAGCAGCATGGACTGTCAGCACGGTGACCATGGCTTCGGCTACCCTTGACTCTGTATAGCAGACAGGAGCGCCTTCAATGGTGTGATCAACGACGAACCTGGAAGCAGGAATGGCACGACATCGTATTTTCAGACGAATCCAAGTTCTGTACACAGCATCACGATGGTCGCATCCATGCTTGGCGACATCGTGGAGAACGCGTATAGGCAGCTTGCATACGACATCATCATACTGGTTAATCACTTGCAGTAATGATATGGGGTGCCATTGGATACACGGCTCGATCACCTCGTGTTTGACGACATTTGGTTAGATGATTATTAAAACTGACAAATTCGTCATTGAGCCATTGACCATACATACATGATTTCCTTATTTCAACGTTTCTGAAGTAGCTATTGTTGTTAAGTTAAAATCTTTATAATTGATTTTTTTCAGTTAAATTGTTTTTCAAGTCATAGTTTGTGATAATTCAAATTATAAACACACGTACATTCTTGGCTAAAATATAAAGGGAAGAACATTTTTTATAGTTTAATTTTATACCTTCAAGTGACGTAGTGTGAATATCTCGATCCTGATTGGTTGTTGAAACATGGCATTTGCTTACATTAGCAACTCCTTTTTTTCCACTCTATTTCGAGTAAGCCAAACCCGTCAAGTATCAATTCTCTTAAATGACTCATTCTATATTCTTTCACAAAGATTTCAATTCTTTCACTACATATTTCTTACTTAACACAAAGACAGACACGAAACCACGTTGAATATAACCAAACTAATTATGTATCGAAGTTGCCAGGTACATAAAGCAAAAATATTTCACTTTTACAATAAAATACATGAACGAATAATAAATCTAAGTTAAGTAAAAGGAGTAGAATAAAAAAGAATTATATTTAGACAATTTTGATGCACGATACGGCTCTGAATTTTGTTTACTTCACGTTAATTAATTAACGTTTTAACATATGTGAAGAAACTTAGCTCAACTTTAACACGCCATTTTGCTTATAAACGATCAGCTGGCTCTGACGTCATAGGTCACGTGTGGTATTGTGATGTTCTTGAAGTGCAAGTACCCAATTATTACACACACAATATTTTTGAAAAGAAAAAAAAAACTCCAAAAATTGCAATTACTGCTTTTTTTTTAAATCTACAGCTTTGAATTTAAAGTGTTCTGCTACATTCTAAATTGGATATCAGTTTTGTATGCCTAATTTGCTTTTGTTTTTGTGATCGTTATACATATATATCAAATGTGAAATTTGCCTTCGTGATCGTTAAATATCTTATCATAGAGAGCAATGCCAAATTTAACTTACTTGTACCACGTCACGCTGGCTCTTTCTTTTGATTCAACTTCACACACAAATTCAGCTGATTTTCCAATATCAACAACCTGCGGATAAATTTCAGTTAAATCATTCTTGTAAATTTTGATATAAATACGAAACTGATTCTGCGACCACTTACCTTCGCTTCTAAAGGTTTCGTGATTTTTGGAGGCTCTCCCACTCGTTTCCTTCGAAAATAAAAGTCAAAGCATTTAATAATGTAAACAATAAACATTATGAGAGCACTTTTCACAAGAATTATTTTGTTCAGGTATTAAACACTTTGCACAATCAAATAACGAAATAAAAAAGCGCCATTTTAAAATTATTTAAAGGTACATAAGAAAATGAGTTTTGAAAATTGAGAAAAGAAAATGAGCACTGGTGCAAGAAGTTGAGAGAATTTGCAGACTTGGTTGATTATCTCTAAAACTACTGGACCGATTTTAATGAAATTTGATCTGTACATACACATTGATACAATACAAAACAAATAACCATTCAACAATTGTAAAACACTCGCATGATCGTGCATAACACTTATTGGAGTTGGAATGTATGACAATTGAGGCCAATTGCCACAGGAAATGATAAGCTGTTTTATTTCAAGAATGAAATCTCGCTGCAAGGCCTGTATATTGGTAAAGGGGACCATACATCCTATTAACCCATTTTTTTTTTTTTTATTCTGCAACCTCTGTTTCATACGCTCCGACTCTGACGACTGTTAACGCACGATCATGCTTGTGCATTATAATTGTTGAATGGTTATTTGTTTTGTATTGCATCAATGTGTATGTACAGATCAAATTTCATTAAAATTGGTTCAGTAGATTTAGAGATAATCGACCAAGTCTGCAAATTCTCTTTATTTCTTACAATGAACAGAGGTAAAATTAATTAATTGGTAAACAAAAGACCTTTTAAAAAATGAGCAAATTATGCATAAAACCGGTTCTCAAAGCATTGTCTGTTTGTAGTACCTTTTCCCATATTTTTAACACCATACAAATTAAAGGAACAACTAGTCTTTAACTCCAGAATTGACCAATTTTTGGTATTTCTAGTAAAAACAGAGTTCAAAATTTCACGAAACAAATAATTTAAAAACTTATTTTTCGTATATTGTATTTGCATACATTCCTATTATTGTATCACAAAAACTAAAAACGTAATTTAATTAAATATAAAAACTGTTTATATAACTTAATTTACTCATAATTAACACTGTTTTCTACTAAACTGAAGGAAAGCATAAATATGTTTTCTATAAGAAAAATTTTAGCTATATTTTAATTTTTGCAAAGCTTGAAAAAAAAGGTAATTTGAGATGAATTAAATTATTTGATAAAAGTTTCTCGTTTTTTTTATTCTATCTTCTGTACCTGAAAAATGTTAGACGTTGTACTTTGATGCATTACTTTCGAAAGTATTTATTCTTTCGCAGGACGGAAAACGTTTAAAATTAATAAAATTTTCACAAGTTCATTTCTCGTAAAATTTTCTCGTGCAATAAAGTTTTTATTTAAGAAAATACCTACCTAATTATTTATCATTAATTAGTACTACCTATTATACATAATTTATGTACCTAACAGCTGGAAATTTGACATATTTTAGATTTTTGTCAACTAAGAAATTGCTAATAAAAAGATCATTCGAAAAACAATATTTTCATATTAAATTACTTTTAAAATCTAGGTTTAAAATTATAGACAAAAATGTTTTAGTAGGCGTAATATGTGAACAAAGTTCCAAAACTTGAATTAAGATTAAAGAGACTAGATTATTGACTACGCTTGACTAAACTATTGGGACCAAATTTTTAACATTACGGTTACAATATTCCTTATTTTCAGGGTCAAAAGTGAAATATGAAGCGAAATAAAAATATGATGTAACTTATATGATATAATTTATTTAATTTTTTGACTTAATGAATTATTTGATTTATAGTAAAATTATAATCTTTTTGCAATATATATGTTATTGTGAATGACCGAAAGCAGGAAAATGTCTACTTTCACCAGTGAATGTCAGCAATCACATAGTCATTCTGGTGAATGTCTGAAATATTTGTCATATCTGATTTGGTATTAATTTATTCGTTGATTATTATAATATTTATTGGCTATTTTAATATCTGCTGAAGACAGATTAGGAGAAACTAAAGTATTCGGAGTGCCGGTGAAATGCATACTGGGCAGTTGCACTGAACCTTCAAAAATGATGTAGGGCATACCGGGCAAATGTATCTCAAATCGTGACACTTAATTAGACCAAGTATATATTTCGGAGATTTACCAAAGCTACTATATGATTGTCAACATTCAACGGTTTAAGTCAACAACCATATATATATTCCCTGAACTTTTTTGAAACAGAATATAGGTGTCAATGCTTACTTCAAAACAATTTTTCCTAATTCTTCCTTAGGTGCTTCTCCAGGAGCTGGCTTTTTAAAAGTCCTTTTTGCTGGCGCTTTGCCTGGTTCTTCAGTTTTTTCAGTTTCAGTTTTAGAAAGAGGTTTCTTTAAGCCAAAGGTTTTAGGCTCTTCTGCAGGCTTAGACTCTGGTTTTGTTGCCTCCTTTTGGTCAAGTCTTGAAGTTTTTTCACTTACTTCTTTCTTTTGCAATTCCTTCTTAGCAGCTTGCGTCTTAGTTTCTTCCTGTTTCTTAATTTCTTCCTGTTTCTTAATTTGTTCCTGTTTTTTAATTTCTTCCTGTTTTTTAATTTCTTCCTGTTTCGTTCCAATTTGTCTCTTAGATACATCATCCTTCTTTTGAAGACTATCTCTTCTTTCGTCTTTCGATTCCAACTGCTTTTTGGTGACTAATTCTTTTTGTTCTTCTTTTTTATCAACCGTTTTTCTTAACTCTTTCTGCTCTTCTTTTTTCTCTGTAGTCTTTCTCACTTCTCTTTGTTCTTCTTTTTTGTCTAATGTCTTCCTTACTTCACTGGATTCTTCTCTCTTATCGAATGTTTTCTTAATTTCCTTTTGTTCTTCTTTTTTATCAAATGTTGTCTTAACCTGTTCTTCTTTCTTTTCTTGCACTTTAGAAATTTCTTTTCCTTCTTTTTTCTCAGTTGTTTTTCTTATTTCTTCCTGGTCTTTTCTCTCTACAGTTTTCTTTGTTACTTGTTCTTCCTTCTTATCTGTGACTTTTTTGACAACTTCTTTTTGTTCTTCTTTTTTCTCCAGCGTTTTCTTTTCGGCTGTTTTCTTCTCCTCTTTCTTTTCTTCTATCTTTTTCGTATCCTTCTTTTTTTCCTCCTCTTCTTCCTTGGTTTCATCTAATTAGAAAAAAATATTTATATTTACAAAAAGAACCATAAATGCTTGAATGACCATGTTTTAAAAATTTGTAACCTGTCATAAAGAGTTTGGTATAATTTTTTGCTTACAAGTAGCTCATTACTTGTAACGATTATTACAACTACTAACGATTTTGATTTTAATTATGATAAAAAACCTCAATTACCATTATAATTGTAATCACAATTACAACTATCATTAAATGATGATTATAAATAACAATGATTTACGATTGCAAATAATTATGATTAAACGTGAAATCAGGAATTGTAATTTAAATAATAAATAATCACAAAATTGCATGCAATTTCATTGAAAAGATAAAACTCGATTATTGTAATAAATTATAACTTTTCCCAATGAAGTATGCCAATGATGTATTAGTAAAATAAACGAATCTGGAAGTCTTAAGAAATAAAAACACTCGTAGTTATATTTCATTATTTATTCCAAACAAATAAAAATAACTTAAGAAAAGTCATCTTAAATTTATTAAAATGTATAAATGAAATTTTAAAAAAAATTCATAGAATATGTACAAACACTCACCTTCCAAAGAAACTTTGATTGCTTCGGAGGCTATGACGCCCTTCTCGTTCTTGGCCTGCAACTTATACAGACCTTTATCCAAAATAGATGGCTTGTCAATCTCCAGCTTCACAGCGTATTCGCCTTTTTCGACCTTCCTTATTTCAATCTTATGCTTGGCGTCCTGCTTAACCATAGAGTTCTCCTTGAACCATACACACTCAGGTTGAGCATTCGATTTGACGTGGCATTCTATAATCACTTTCTCCTCCTTCTCGCGACGAATTACCCTCGGCTTTTCCCGTATCACAGGAGCAACTGAAAGAGAACAAACGTTATGGCTATCTATACTTTTCGTAGATAGGTGTCTCAAAGTAACACAATTTCCCCCCTCTTCACACTTTTCCTCTCTGCGACAACATGGTTTCAGCAACTATTGCTTTTTCCTCGTGCTAGTACATTTTTATAAGAAATTGGATTATACTAGTTTGAAGAAAAAGCGTTATTTGATGAACTAGTTTTTAGATTAAGTTATTTATATGCCAGAAAAAAAAACTTAATTTTATGAAACACTAGTTTTTTTGCTAAGAAAATAGACAATTTTTAGGATTTAAAAATATTTTTACTTATATTAAGATCTAAATAATTACATTTTTATTAAAATTTAAAAATATTTTTTTTTCTCTCTAAAACGCTGAACCAGTTAAATTACCTATTAAACCTATTAAATTACATCATTTTCACATGGTTCCTTGACAAGTTAACAATGATAATAATTATAAGAAGAGTAATGATAATAAAAATAGCTTGACTGAGTTATTAAATTAGGCAACTTCGTGTGGTTCCTTGACTGAAGAAGAAAAATAATAATAATAATAAAAATAGTTTGACTAAGTTATTAAATTAGGCAACTTTCGCGTGGTTCCTTGTCTTAAAAATAATAAGAAGAAAAAGAATAATAATATAAATAGCTTGACTAAGTTATTAAATTAAACCACTTTCGCATGGTTTCTTGACTTAACAATAAGAAAAGAAAAAGAGTAATAATAAAAATAGCTTGACTAAGTTAATAAATTTGGCAACCTTCGCATGGCTCCTTGACTTAATAATAAGAAAAAGAGAAAAAAAGTAATAATAATAAAAATAGCTTGATGCAGTTAACTTAATTTTGAGAAAGTCAGATTAAAGACAAACTTCGCCAAATGTGGTAAATAATTTCAGTATCATTTTTTTTCGCAACTCCGAATGAGGTAATTATGAAGCTACTTGTTATAACTTTCTTTCAAAGCTCGAAGTCAGTAAGTATAAACAAGCAAGAGACAGGCACTCGACATCTGATCTTATAATAAAACTATGCAAAAATATGGGAAGTTATAAATGATAGAAAATAGATTATAAAACTGAATAATACTTACGTTCAATATTGAGCGTCAGATTAGCGTTACTCTCACCAGCAACATTTGCAACGTTACATTTGTACAATCCAGCATCGGTCAATTCTGGACTCTGCAATAACATCATTTAATATCAATACAAAAAAGAAAATTAAGACTAATACTTAATTAATACTAATAATAATAATTTGCATAATGGTTTGATAGTTACCTTGAGCTCTAGTCTAATGAGGTAGACGTCTTTGTCTTGCTTTACTGTCTGTACTATTCTGTTTGTTTCCTTGATGACGACATTATCCAGGTACCACGTGATTGTTGGTTTAGGACTGGCTTTCACTTTACATTCCATGATAATGCGTTTTCCATCATCTTCGGATATAATCTTGGGCTTCTCCACAAATGTGGGAGCATCTCCCTCAATTCTATCACCTGAAAACAATTCAATAATTATTCCAGAAACTCTGCAGCATATGGGCTGTTGAAAAAGAATTGTTTCCTGGAAAATACTACGAGCAAACATTGCATAAATTACTATCTTCGCTGGTTTAAATTTTGTCAACAACATTGAACTCAATACCTAATGTATAATTATGGAATATACCTAATGTATAATTATAATAATGTATAATTATAATTAAATACTAATATATGGATTATAAAATACCTAATTAGGTATTATATAATGGATAATATAATACCTAATATATGGATTATAAAAGTTTTTTTTTTCTTTTTTAAAGAAAATTTAATGGGTCGAAGTATTCACTTAGTTTAAATGTAAATCAGCATTTTAAAAATATGAGTAGTACTTAGAAATCAATTCCATTTTGACATTCATAGATTCAAGATTTTTTAATCAAAAGAGTGTTTATAAAGCATTAGTTTGCTTGCGCATTTTGTTTAGTTAAAAGAGATGCAAATACATATATTTTCTATGCTGTGATTTATTCATGACGTTGAGAATTCTACTCTGATTAATTTTTAACTCTGATCTAGTTCATAAAATTAAGTTGTCTTGATAACAGTTTGTTTTGCTTTTTTTAACTTATTTGTGGAAAAGAAACAAAATGGCTGTGAGTTTATATTCATTTATTTCTGAGCATTAATATATTTACACATTTTGTATCTTTGAGCGTTTCCAGTTTTACTGCCGAAGTTAGTATTTTATATTTTTCTAAATAGAACTGTAAAAGAAATCATTTTGTGTGTTGTAAGTTGCTTATGAAATAATCAAGAACATTGACATCATTAACTATTTCTGATTTGAAGTGTAAAACGAAAAATATAAGTTAAATGAAAAATGTTTCTTTTTTTCTGTGAGAAGCCACCCCTCACATTTTAAGAGATTTGTGTAATCAATTCCTAAAGAATTAATTCAACATATTAATGATTCAACTGTGATTTAACATATAATTTATGTTTCATGGTGCATTTCTTTTAACATGCTACACATGCAGAAGTTAATTATAACTCACTTTCATAATGCAGAGTAACCTAAAAATTTTACTTTGAATAACTTTAGGTCTAATAATATTGAGATATAAACTAATAATGATATTTTTTCCCTATAAAACACATTCTTAGTTTAACACATTTCATATGTTAAATAGTTTTTATTTATTTGCATCAGATTTTGAACCTAAAATAGGATCTCTATTAGCTCAATTCTCGATATCCAACAATCAAAAAAAATAATAAAAAATAATCAATTAAAAATTTTGAATTTTTTTACTATTGGAATTTAAAAAATTTAAAATATTCCTAAATCAAATAAAATAATAATAACTTTTATCAAATTTCAAAGCTAGACGATATTTAAATTGAACAACTTTATTTACTGACCTTCGATGTTTAGGCTGAGGTTAGCATTAATCTCTCCTTCATCGTTCATAATATTGCACTTATAAGCTCCGCCATCTTTTGAGGTTGGATCCTGCAATAACAGTAACCATCATAAGTATTCTATGTATACGAAAAAATGCTTCATTTAACAAAAAGAACTATAGAGTAATGCATGGGGTTTGATATGATGGTCAGATTTTAACATATTTAGATAGGTTACAATGGTTCGAAGGGCAAACATGAAATATGCTATGACAGATTAAGACGTATGTCCCTGTTTTGAAACACCTTAAAGAACTAAATGATTACAAATAAAGAGGACTTTGTTAAAAATTGTTTGACGTTAAATAAATAAAATATCTGAGAAAAAAAAGCATATACACGCTGAGATTTAGTACAACATCTGGCAAAATGAGCTAGAAGTTAGGTCTTGCCTTAAGCATTTTATAACCGTCCCTGAACAACCGACCCAATTCCTTGAGTTTACCGCTACCAATGTTTAATTTTATAGCATTTTAATTTTTAACTCAATTTAGAAGACCCGGGAACTTCTGGATCAAGTAGTGGCTGAAATTTGCCTTCATTGAGGACCTTTTTGAACCTCCACAGAAACCTCCCACGGTTAGCCCTAATCCATGATCCGTCAACCACAGAGGATATTTTACGTCAGCACTGCGGTTGTTGTGAGCGGGGTGCGAAATCTGCATCGACCAACCATCTCTGGGATTTGATCCTGGTTCACCTCTTGGGACGGCGAACGCTTTAGCCCCTGAGCCTTGAATTACAAAACTGATTGCAAGAACTTTCATCATGCGTCCTTGGATCTATGTTGTTTTATAAAATTCATATTGCCGTTAATCGCACTCAAATAGTTTCAAAAATGCTAGTTTTGTTGTAATTCAACCATTTGGTGACTAACTTAACACACGTGTCAAGAAAATCGTCAAAACGTTAAACCATCAATTAAGGAGTCTATTTGAAGGAAATTTTCGACAATAATTTCTAGACAATGTAAAATTTACCTAAAATTGAGATAATTTACAGAATAAATCGAACAATTACAAAGGCACTCAAACTTGATGTTTATAATAGAAAAGCGCCCCCTGCGGCGTACGACGGCTATCGGTTTTCCTACAATTCTCAATCCTGGTATGTAATACCAAGTTTATAACTACTGTATCACAATGGCGATCTATTTTTCAAATTAGTCTTGCTTTATCCATCCGCATTCACGTTAAATCAGTACGCATACACGTTAAATTTCAAAACTGTATACTTTATTAAAGATGTTTAAAGACTTACTAATAATATTGATCGAGTATAATTTCAATATACACAAGATTACCTTAGAAAATAATTCCCAATAAATATACATTGGTTGCAATATTAAACAATTTGAAGGAAGTTGCTTTAATTTTCCGAGTTGATAGCATTCTAGATTCGTCTTTTCGTTTTATCTGCAATAATCATGTCAAGTCTGGTGTACTTACTCTGATTTCAAGTGCAACTTTGTATTCATTGCCACGTAGTTCAACGATTGAACTTTTGAAACGAATCGATTCTTGTACAACTTTGTTTCCTTGGTACCACGTGACCTTAAGGGCTGATTTGGATTTCACATGGCATTCCATTAGAATAAGTTTCCCATTCTCTTTTGGAATGATTTTTGGTTTCTGCGTAAAGGAAGGGCCTTCTTCGGCACCTACAATTTGATACAAGTAGATTTTTTAGTAAATACACACAAGAATTAATACTACTATGAATCAGATTTCGTGCGAACAAAGCTGTTACACAATGATAAAAGGAAATTATCACTTTATTATATGCGTTAATCGATGACTTACCCTGAAGATTCAGAACGATGTTTGCATTGCTGTCGCCGAGCTCATTCACGGCATTACACTTGTAAGTCCCTCCATCCTCTGGTGATGGATCCTAAAATGTTTGAATTTATTTTTTGAATAACATGAATTACATACAGGATTCAGTACAGGGATTACAAACGGGAGGAATCGTAGGAATCGAGAATTGCTGATCAACCTACAGCAACACCTCAAATGATACCTTCCCATTGCTTGCTTGCTGTTCGTGCGCATATGAGGAGGTACTTTTAATTAACACTAGATTTCCCAAAAAAGTCATTTTGACTGCTTTTTAATTTCAATTAGATAACAATGATGTATATAATGACACAATTTCTTAGAATTTTGTGACTTTTTGTACGACCTATACATTTTTTTTTACTGTTAATATTTACTAATAACTTGTTATATAACTGAAATATTAAAAATTCATTTTGACTGCTTTTGGGCAATATAGGTACATACTAAGTTTCACTCTTTCTAGTGTTAAACTACTTTATTTAATGTCTTATAATTTAACGTCTTGTAAGTTTTGTCGAAGTCTGCATTCAGATCGGCCCAGGAATAGATTATTTCCAGTGATTTAATTATTTGATGAGCCAATGGGATACCTGCAAGTGACATAGTGTGGGCATCTCGATCCTGATTGGTTGTTGAAACGTGGTATTTGCTTACGCTTGCAGCTGCTCTTTCCATTCTATTTAGAGTCAGCCAAGACCATTAAGAATCAATTCTTTTAAGTAACTCATTCTATATTCTTACAAAAAGATTCGTTCATAAAGAGTTCGATTCTTCCATTATATATTTCTTATTTAACACAAAGACAGACATAAAGCCATGTACAACATATGCAAACTAATTATGCATAGAAGCTGCCGGGTACACAAAACAAAAATGTATCACCGTTACAATAAAATACATGAATAAAAAATATCCTTCCACTGAAGCAGGGGTTTCGTCAGTCACGGGGTCGGAACCACTGTATTGACCATGTTCGAGTGATTATCTGCTTTACCAGGTAGGAATAAGTATAAGACGTATACGTGAAAGAATTATAATTCATTGTGCGATACGGAGTTGTATTTAATAAACTTCACGTTAACTAACATTCTGACTTAAGTGGAGAACCTTAACTCGCGTCGTCTGGGTGACGGTTCTGTGGTTTCCGTGACCGAGGGGCCTGGGTCCGTCGAAACTCCGGATTCTACATATTAGAACATATTTAGTTCTGAATTTGTTATCTCGAAAACTTGCCATCTCGAAAAAATTTTATAGTCCCTTCAACTTTGTCATATTGAAAGTACATTTTTCATTATAACTTATGATATGAAATAGAAAGTTTTCCGCTTAAAAAAAAGAACATGGATTGAACGCTTCTACATAGAATCCCGCACATCCACTTACTCGTGCTCTGCGCATGATCTGTAAAGAAATGTTTTGGTAGTAACTACTATGCGCAAAACATACCTACGTAAACAAGTTGGATGCTACTTTAAAGAGATAATGATATTAAATAAAACCTATAGTAAAAACAGTTTAGTCATATTCTATTAAGAGTTAAAATTATTCAAAACTTTTTACGTTTGCAATATACTAATACAAAATAAATTTTATTTTATTTTAGTTAAAACATCATAAGACAAGTGAAGCGTAGCGTATGGTCTCTAACTCGTTTACAGTCTCTGGCTAAATCATTAGACGCAATGCTTAAGATTTTATGTAAAATCTTAATTATACAGGGGATACTCTACAGCATAATGGTTTTTACGAGGCTGAAACCTGTTTAAACTTGTTTATGTTCGTGTATCAATTGGTTAACTTAAAATATATACGTTAAAAATATATACAAATGGGAAGTATATAAAAAATCTCCCAAATAAAAACCTATAACGTGTATGTTTAACTATAAAAGTATTGCCGATAAACTCGTGTAAAACATGCAATTATTAAAACATTACAGTGCGGCGAATGATTTAGTCTAATTATTATACTATACTAAAATAATATCTGGTATAATAACTATTCTATATTTATATAATATATCGTTATATTTACCCAATCGTCGAATTAATATTATCTATCATCTAATTTAACAAATTGATACAGTAACGTAAACAAGAGCAATCAGTCGGATAAAAGCAATAAAGCTGTATAATAGTATAACCTGATAATTAAGATTTTCCATAGAATCTTATAGTGCGTCTAGTAATTTGGCCAGACTGTATATCAAACATATATAACGAATTCTAATAAAAGTTTACCTTTTTTTTAATGTAAATTATAAAGAATTAGAGTACAAAGAACTCATATTATAATTATTATTGTACTCAAAAAAACAAAATGAGTTGTTTTTATTTTAAAAAACTTTTTTCTGATATAATTTTCCCTGATTATTTGATAACATAAGAGAAATTGTTAAATATTCAACGTACGAGTATTTCCAGTGACAACAGGTAGGTGTCTTTTGAGAGTTCCTTCTTCTTAATTTTGTGTCGAGGTCCTTCTTTCACTTCAGTGGTTCCAAGAAACCAGCAGATCTTTGGGAATGGGTGAGCCTCCAGCTGCACTTCCAGCACCAGAGATTCACCTTCGTGTTTGATGGCTGGCTTCTTAGGGAATCGAGGAGCTTTTCCTCCTGGTATCCTGTGGACAAAAAGAAGATCTCCCTGTCAATAAAAACTAGCCCCCAAAGCAATTAATACAGTGAAACCTCCCAGAAAAACCACCTCCATGTAGTGGCAGCCTCTCTTTACCACCGCTTTTAAGACTCTTCGTGTTGAAGAAAACATTTAGGAGAGACCGTTGAAATCTCTCCCAGCAACCGGGCAAACATGTGCACTAAATGCGATAAAGGTCAATATGAAAAACTATCAAAACAAAACAAATAAGTAGATTAACCGCTTTCCTGATTATCCCGAGTTAACTAGGGTATGTATATATTGCAAATAGTTATCATCACGAGATAACTCGGGTATGTATGTATTGCAAATATTTATCATCACGAGATAACTCGGGTATGTATATATTGCAAATATCTATCATCACGAGATAACTCGGGTATGTATATATTGCAAATATTTATCATCACGAGATAACTAGGGTATGTATATATTGCAAATATTTATCATCCCGAGAATACTCGGGCGTTGCAGAATTTGTCTGTACTTTTTGTTTTATCACGTTTTTACTCGGTAGGAAGCAAAAAACACAAGTCGGAAGTTTGCCAAGGTTTATTTGGAAGTTTTGCTATTGGATTGTGGAACTGCACACGTGTTTTGTGCGATTGTATGTACGATGGTTGCTGAATTTACATAGCAATAAGAGTTAAAAAAAATTGTGTATTCCTTCACTGACGTTTGAAAGCTACCATTTTGTATTGTCCCTTGTTTTAAGAACTATCAAACAAAAACTAATATTTAACTTTTTTCATTTGCTCGGGATAGTAAACTGATTTTAAAATAAAGGTTCTTTACACAAAAAAAGAAATTAAATTTTTAACTTAAAACTTGTACATTTTGTTTTGTTTTAGTTTCTTGTATTTAGTAATAAAATAAAAAATTAAATTTATTTTTTGCTTTTTTTTTTTCAAAATGGGAAGTGGTTTCAATAAGGGAAGTGGTTAAAATGTATTTGAAATATTTGTTTGATGATCTAATTTAGAGAGCTCTTTTTAATGATACAATGTTACAGACAAAGTGCATTGATGGCAAAGTGTAAAGCAGGGCTTGAAAAAACTCAGAAATTTTACCCGTCCCTGAGGACGGCTTGTCCATCAATGTACCCGTCCTCCTTTGAAACTAACCCGTCACTTCTAAATTAATAAAAATATAATTTTCTCTTATTTATTACAAAAGTTTATATAAATTGCACAATGAATTAGTAGTTACTAGGATTACAAATACTAGGATTACATTATACAGTAATAAGAGAAATACTAGGTTACTAATAGCAAAACCTAGTAATTATTTTATGAAATAATTTATTTCTTTTATGAAATAATTTAAATGACAAAGGTCAAGTTATCTGGAATGTCAATTTATCCGAAGGTACTGCGTTTTTCAAATGAATCGAATATGACGTTTGTCAGTTCCACAATCAAGCCAATGATTTACAGAGGTTTCTGCACAGAAATCTGAAAGAGGTTTACCATTTAGGTAGATGTTCATAATTGCAACATTACGAGAAAATGGCCGTCCGCGCGGACGTCGGATTCGAGAAATTCGTTGTCCGTGGGGAATTTTTGACCGCCGAGGACGGGCGGTTTTTCGAGCCCTGGTGTAAAGACATTGCCATCAATGTTTTATTTCTGGTGTTGAAAGTTAAATTAGAAGAAAAAGTTATTTTAGAAAAACCTCTTCATCTTTCAAAGGTAATTAATTTTTATGATATAAAATTAAATGCAAATTTAAATAAAAAAAAACATATTTGTTTATTTATTTAAAATATCTTTATCATTTATATTTGGTAAAATTGTTTTTGCACAGAATTATATCAGTTGGGATCATTTTTATAGACTCTAAATTTTATTCATCTATCCGTCTTTTCATGACGTGAACAGAAGTGGCATTTCCGCATCAAGAAAATGATACTGGCTAAAATTCATTTACCTTTCATAACAATTTTGAAGTCAATGACCTTTAAGGGACCGGAACGGAGAGTGGTCGGCTTCCGAGAGGTTTCACTGCCCTTTCTAATTTTTATCGTTGATTTAATTCATTCACTTCTCAAGATTTACGCATCAAATTTAGTTCTTCATTTCAATAAATCTTTTAGTTATATATTTTGTTTCAGCAAAATAGAGAATGATGATTGATTAAACTTACTTTTTGCTTGCATCACCTGAAAAAGAGAGAGAAAAAAAAAAGTTAGCACAATATACAAACAAAATATCAAGAAGTCAGAATGGTATATCATAAACAAAAACTATACAAGGTGCACATATTGGAATACAATCAGATAAAAACTTCAGCCAATTACGTCTATTTAAAGAAACTATATTACGGGATATTAACCCTTGTTTAATGGTATAAAGGACCATTCACACTGTTATAATATTGTAAATTACGATCGGGGGAAAGTCCAGGCGGGTAAATGTTATGACAATCTTGGTATTTACTTCCTTTGAGTTTTATTAAAATTATGCCCCACATGCAGGAAGTTATTATAACAGCAATATATAAAAAATATTGACACTGAAAAGTTGCATTTTACTTAATTTATTAGAGTTACAACAATTATCAGTGTAAATGGTTGGCTACTTGCTGTAATTATCTTCAAAGAAAATATTGCACTTGTACACTACTTAGTTTAATTATTGGATTTGCAAGATCTAAAAAAATAACTGCAACTTAAAAGCTGAAGTTTCAATATTTATTACACTTGTAGTTTTTCAATAAGGGATTTAATAAACAGTAATGCAAAATTTTACATTATTACGAAGTGAATCTTTAATTCTGTCACATAATAAGTTAAATTGCAATAATATAAAATTTCTCATAAGGGATTACAACTTAGGAATTACAAATTATAGTGTGCAAACTTAATATTTTGTAAAATCACTAATTTCTTGAAATCATTATTCATAAAAAGAATTAAATAACTGCAATAAAATATTTGACGACCGATAATTAAATACGCAGATATTAAAAACGTAAAAATTTACGTTAATTTACTTTCACGTATAACAATTAAGACAAATTTATTTTTTTCTTTAATTTTTAATTGAATCGTATTAATTTTTGTAGCTAAATCATTTAAATTACTTTAAACAACAATCTGCAGGAACTGATGGCCTTATTAGAAAATTTTATATATATGTTACTATGAAGGACTGAAATCGGGAGAATGTCGGCTTTCGCGAGTGAATGTCAACAATCACATAGTCGCTTTGGTAAATATCCGAAATATTTGATATTAATTTATTCGTCGATATTATTATATTTATTCGTATTTTAATATCTGTTGAGGACAGATTAGAAACATCAGTGTTCTGAGTACCGGTTAAATCCATACCGAGCAGTGGCACTTGACCCTTAAAAAAAATATTGACGTAGGGCAAAGCGAGCAAATATATACCGGGTAGTTTTACCGTAGAGACTATATGATTATAAACATTGTCCGAAGGAAGCCAACAACTACGAACCTCGGTCATTCACAGTAACGTACTCATGCATTCTTCTCTTGCATAGCAAAGCCAACTTAAAAACTTTTGGTGGTTATATTCTAATTTTTATGCAATTTTGAGACTTCTGGATGATTTATCCTTATTTCAGAAGATATTTTAATATTCATATTAAATATTAATATTTATATTAAATATTACATTAATATTAATATTATTTGTATTAACTATTAATATTTATATTAAATATTAAATATTATAATATTAAATATTATAANCCAGAGGTATTGATTTGTTATGGGAACATGGAGGACTTTGCGACTCGACAGATTGAAAGTGCATCAGTCACTATTTACTACACGGGGAGTCTTCGACTGGCAAGGGCTCGACTGGCACCCACGAAGACTCGGAAATAGGTCCAGCGCCCTACCGACCAGGCTATCCCGGTCCAGGATTAATGGAAGACCGACATCAAGCAAAAGAACGGGAAGGGAGGGCATGAAGAAGCAAACAGGATGTTTTTGTGTGCCAAAGGTAAAAAGAGCTTATTGTAGCTATCGACAATGCCAATCTTTATCTAGCAAAAGGTACCTCTAGATCAGTGTTTCTTAACCTTTTTGATACAATGGACCCTTTTTAAAATTTTTAAGAAGTCACGGACCAAGATCATTGGGAGACTTTTTATTTACCAACAGGTCAAAACCAGATTTATTGCCAAGCATCACAGGTGCTCCATCTGTACGAAGTGAATGAAGTTTTTCTTTCCAGCCGAAGTCTTGTTTGGTAAAGAAAACATTTAACGTTGCTAAAACATCAACTGCCTTTGTAGTTTGCAAAAGAGACTCACAAAATAAAGATTCTTCTTTGATAGTATCAAGAGACACGTAACGAACAAAAACAAGAAGTTGACTATAATTCGAGATATCTGTAGTTCCATCCAGTTGCATATTAAATGGAAATGGCGATACTTTCAATTCATCGATGATCTTTTTCAAAATATTGCATGAAATTTCAACTATTCTTGAATGTGTTACATCATTTGAAAATGGAATTGCCTTAAGTTTTTTTTTCTCTGTTCTAATCTACAAACTAATTCAACCATCTCCAGCGCTCCAATAGTACGTGGTTTCTTGCTTTTAGCAATATGATATGCAACTTTGAGAGATGCCTCAACCAGAGGTTTTTGTGGGATACCAAATCCAAGTTTGTCTAATGTTCCAGATTTCAAAGACTGGGCTTTCTTCTTAGTAAAAAGTTCTAGATCTAGTAACCAGAACAAGGTGTCATATGTATGTACGTAGCTTGATAGGGGATAATAAAAATAGTACAGCGGACGTCATCAGGGGGTTGGCCCTGATGGTGGAAACTGAAAGCTGGTTAGTGGAGGATGTTAAAAATATGACAGGAATATTAGAGGGCTGTGTGCAGTCCGTACTGAATTTGGGGTATCTCGATCACCTAGTTTCAAATATGTATGTATTTTCACCTTTTAGAAAGAAAAAAAGATCAATGTTATCTAAATATTATTGATCAAAACGTTTTAAAAATTAGGAGCAGTCAGTGGATCCCCAAAATATGACCCATGGACCCCTAAGGGGTCCATGAACCACAGGTTAAGAAACCCTGCTCAAGATTGAAATGAGTTAGCATGTCTTATATACTAGTGAATTGATGTTTAATAATCGTAGTGGTAGTTACACCACAATACTCCCCTACAGAATTTTATCAAGGATAGACTTCGATGAACAAATATCACTAGCTGTCGTATTTGTGAGAGACCGAGAGAGCTGTGCTAAGTCCACCGGATTTTGAGCCCTTGCGGTAAGAGTTGTACTAAGTTCACCGAATTTTAAACGTTGGTCGTGAGAGTTGTATTAAGTTCATGGTTGCGTGCGTGGTCGCTCCTCTGTTGCTATTAGTAATAGAGAATATTGTGTGTAAATGAGACTGAGATGCAACAGCGAGAGGAGGAGGATGACTCTGTTGCAAATAGCGAGTCAACTGTTGAATGTGGACCATTCATCCATGTAGACGAGGTCATATTACGTCCTCAGGTAACGCCTCCTATAGCTGAAAGCCTCCACACGGTTTTTTTTATAGGTAGTCCGATCGGACAAATGTGAAAGTAAACCAGTTTACGAAAGAGCTGTTTAGTAAAATCTATTAAAAACTAGGAAATGGTAGCAAATATATGTTTAAAAATTTGTTTAATTTATGAATATGATTGGTTTGTCTTATTTACTTGCCAACCACTACATTTTCAAATATATATGAAAAATATCTATCGATTACTTTTACAATAGGACATGGGTTCACTTTTTAAAGAGGCTTTATGATGCAGGAAGTGATGCCTTAGGTCACGAATGCCAACCTATCAAAAGTCACTTATAAATTGAATCGAGTTAGCATATCCTATACACTAGTAAATTGATGTTCAATAATCGTAGTGACGTTCCACCTATAAATATCATTAAATAGCTCTACACTAAAATTAATTCTAACTCTCATAATAACTCCCGACATAACTCTACAAATTTCAAGAAAAATACTTTTAAATAAATTATTGAATACTAATTTCCATTCTGTTGTCAACTTACCATTGTAGTGTAGGTTTAGGATCGGCTGTGAGATTGCATTCGAATATGATACTCTTAAAATCTGGACTTTGTTTGATAAGTGGTTTTCCTGTAAATGTTGGTTTCCCTTCTTCCTCCTCATCTTCATCAGCTAGTTTTAAGAAAGAACAATTGACACTTTATATCGACGATATTACTCAACATTCAATTTTTCATCGTTAAATAAGAATTCCGAAAAACCAATTATTTAAAATGCCTTTTTAGAAAATTATGTAAAAAGGAATTAAATATCAATATATTTATATCGATATATATATGCATAGATATAAATTTATATCGATATATATTTATTGTAATGCCACAATAGGCATTGCATATTTCCTAGCTTTTAAAATTTCTTTTATTTCCTAAACTTTTTAATCAAGATGTTATTAAATGAAATCAATTATTAAATGTTTATTAAAATTTACAAGAAAAGAAATATTATATAAAGAAATATTACAAACGAATAAAATATTTTGTTCTTTTCTTATCGATCCATGTAATGGATAACTTTTTATTCCAATACTAATGTAGACTCCTTAATTCACTGTCGCGCCTGACGAAAACAAAAATCTATTAATTTTCTTACAAATATGTTTCAGCAGTTACATGGTTGTTATACTAATTATCACAGAGTCTTGTTGGCGATTCGTGATCACCAAAGTATTTTCAAACCTAATATTGATTATAAGAAAGTTGACTTTATTTTTTACTATAGTATCTAATAAATGAATTACCAACCTCGGATCTCTTCCCATGCTCCTAACTGTCCATTGGGAACGATTCATTCATTTTCAATTTCCAATTTTTGGAGACTTGGGGTGCCCTTTCGGACATCCCAGTCCCAACCGTTTAATACAAATCTTAATTGTCCTTCTCTACGTAAGAGAATGTTTTTCTTGATCCCTTTAAGGGTTTTTTCTTTAATTTCATATTTTGAATGGTGGCCATTTTCAATACTTCATAAATGAATTTTTCATAAACGATATTATTCATTTCTCTGAGATAATTATCGTTATATTACATCCAAATTAAGGTGTTTTTGTAACGGCCAAAAGTCAAGCATGATGCCTGAACTATCAGTAATTAATTTAAAATGGTCACCGCCACTACATTTATATTGATATACATGATCAATTATTTTTATTTCTCTATGAAGAAGCAGACAATACCTCTCATTCTCTATGTTCACATTTTCAGTACAAGTCTCAAAACGTAAGAGAAAAATGAATAGTATTTCGGATTCGCCTATTGACAACGTCTATTTCCGAAAAGTTAACTTCCATTTTCCCCTTAATATCACTCCAATACGCCTCAATCTTAAGATTTCTGAAATATTTTCAATTTCTGCAGTGAAAAGTGCAGGACAGAAAAATTCCTAAATTCCCATTGAAATGTAAGCAAGCTTAAAATACCAAGCATAGAAAATACCAAGTATGGGGGAAAATTGCAGTAGTGATTCCTTGAACAATAAATGACCCCTTTAACTTCGAGTCACTTTTTTAAAGTAAAAAAGAAAGAATCCCAAAACATGCGTGATGAAGTGTCTAAAGAAAAGGAGTAATAAAATGAATTTCTTAAAAACTACGTTTTTCAAGAAGGTTAAAAAGAGGAAAATGGTTCTATTTTATATCCTTTGTAAATTAAATACCCGAATTAAATTTACGCGATGTGGAAATTTTACTCTGCCACAGTTTTGGCAAATCTTTTTTTTTCTCCACTCCCATATCTTCCAAATTTTTACTGAGGGCAAGTTATGCTGAAGCCATAGAAATGGAGGGGAAGAAGTGTGGAGAGGTGGGAAATCACGTAACCTTGAAGCGGCTATTCAGTTCACAAAGATTGTATCCAGAACCAAGAAAAAATCTTTGGGGGTGTCGAATCGAGAATGAGTGGGGTGATAAGAGTTTTTCAATATATTATAGAGCCTAACGTTTTCATTTAAAACTGAAAGCATAAAATTACATTTCGTAGTTTTTGATTAACATTTTTATTTAATTTATTAGCCCTTTTTTTTACTTTTGTGTCTGTGTGTGCTTTTAAGAAACAACTTTAACATATATTGATACCAAGCATAGAATTTCAGATGAAATTTGAGCAGCTAGCTAATCGAAAAGAATACAAAATAGTAATTGTGGATAAATTCTATTTGTAGCGATCTAAAAATGGTTGAAAATTGTATTTTCATCAGGCACTGATCTCCAATGGAGGTTTGAGTATCCTAGCTAGACGGAAAGTAAGAGATATTTTCACTGTCGATACATTTATTCTGGTGATACTATAGCAAACAAAATTCTACTTTTAGTTGTCAGGAAAGGATTAAAACTAGCTTAGTCATCATGTTTTGCAGCTGTAGTAGGGTTTTAAGAGATCCGAGTGAATCGAAGAGTATTCGACATATTATTGGTAACATTCTATCATCCCAAACACGAAAACGAGCTGTGAAAAAAGAAGCGATAAATAAGTAAGTAATAAACTCACTATCGAAGTTGAGGTTGATGGTCGCGCTGCTTTCTCCCAAATTGTTCTTCGCCGTGACTTTGTACTTTCCCCCATCTTCCTCATCAACATCTTCGATGACTAAAGCACAGTGGTAAGAATTTCCTTTCCTTTCACATTTAATCTACGGGAGAAAACACGTGATCAAATTTAAGTATGTTTTCAATAAATTTATCAACCTGCTCCTGCTTTAAAAAAAAAAAAATCTCAAAAGTCACAAAAAGGTCCATGCTTATTTATTCATTTATTTTTGTTTTCCTTTAAAGAGTCAAACATTGGATGGAACAGTCGAATTCAAATGAATGTGCCGAAATCATACTTCAAGCAAAGTCGAATTCAAATTTAACAGTCAAAATTAGATTTAAAGCAATTGGAAAATGCCTTTTTCATGCATTTACTCGCATACTGCCTTAAAACGGACTAATATTCTGCCAAATGAGGATTTAACATCCGTGAATGACAGAAATCAAGAGAATGTCGACTTTCACCGGTGAATGTCAATAATCGCATAGTCGCTTTGGTGATTGTATGAAATCTTTCTTATAGTCAATTGGATATTCATTTATTCGTTGATGTTAATATATTTATTCGATATATTAATACTTGTTGAGGATAGATTAGGAGAAACATCAGTGTAGGGAATATCGGGCAGTGGCACTTAAAAGTATATATTTTTCGAATATTTACCAAAGCGACTATGTGATTGTCAACATTCACCTAGAGATGCCAGCAACGTCCGATTTCGGTCATTCACAGTAACAAATGCAATTCTAATTCTTAAATCCCTGAATTGTTGGGAGACTTGCATAAGTAAAACTCACCCTGCCCCACACTGTTTATGTTTGTTTGCTTAGAATTGCATTTGATTGTTTTCATGGAATTTCACAGAATTATTTCCTTAATCGCAGCTCCAAATAACCGACCACAATTCTCTGTCATCTTCGATAAGGCGCGTTCGATTGCGCAATTTCTATTTACAAAATTACCCCGGTATTTCTTATTATTCTAAATTGCAAAACAACCTTAACTGGAATGCACACTCATAGTTTGAATGATGCAATAGTTCACAAGCTGTAAGTAATAGCGATTCCTCGCAATGCAATCGCGGTTACAACTCTAACTACTATGAGTTGTGCGTATCTATGATTACTAGAATTTATGATGACATTTCATCTTGCTTACTCTTGAAAATCATTGATATAACTTTAAATCAATTACATTTTGCTTTTTTCACATATTTCCAGAAACTGACGACTCATTGGACACTAACTGGAATAGTATAATTGTGAGTTAGTTGACATAAAACATCCATCGCAGTACATACATGTATCATGAACCGAATCAGATGTATCATGAATCAAATATATAGTCCCTGGGCAAATTATTAGACGCATTATAAGATTCTATGTGAAATCTGTAAATATGAGGTGATACTACACAGCTTTAATGTTTTTATGATAGACTGAAACCGGCTTGTACTTGTTTATGTTCTTGTATCCATTGGTTAACATTGTAATGCAATACGTTAAAAATAAATACAAACAAGAATTATACAAAAAAAATCTCCTGAATAAAACCCCATTACATGTAAGTTTAAATATAAAAGTATTGTATATAAACTCGTGCAAAATATTCAATTATTTAAACAATACAAAGAGCGTCAAACAATTCGGTCTCATTATTATAATATACTAATGTAATACCTGATAAATAAATATTCTATATATATATATAATATATCGTCTAATTTAATCCATTGATACACGAACGTAAGCAAGTGGAAACAATCTCGTAAAAGCTGTACAAGACTATCACCTGATAATACAGATATTACATAGAATCTTATAGAACGTCTAATAACTTGGCCAGGTATTGTATATATAATGTATTATTATTTCTTTTCTGAAATAAAAAAAATGTTACTTGGAATCTATCTTTGCTTTCGACAGGTTTATCGTCTCTAAACCAGGAGATCGTCGGTACGGGATTGGCGGCTATGACACATTCGAAATAAAGACGATCTTCATCCTCCTCCTGTCGAATGGCAGGTTTCTTCTCGAACACGGGGGCCTTTTGATCCCTGAAATTAGAAAAATACACAATAAGTTATTTTTTTCAATGGCCAAATTTTAATCAATCAATATATACATTTCATCACAACTGAAGTGAAACATTTCATTATGTAAGCAACATTCAGTTCAGTTGAAATAAAAGATACAGTGAAACTTCAAGGGAAGACCACCTCAATGTAACGACCACCTCTATTTACGACCACTTTTGGGAGGCATGGAATTTATTCCATAGACTTCGTGTAGAAGATAAATTTTGGGAGAAACCATAGAAACCTCTCCCAGCTACCCTGAAAACATTTGTACCAAATGCGGAAAAGGTCAAATAAGGAAACAAGAGGAAATATCAAAACAAAAAATTTAACGAAACAAATAAGTAGGTTCAAATGTATTCTAAATATTTGCGTGAGGCTCTTATTTAAAGAGTTCTTTTTGACGATACAGTCTCATGCCCTAAAGACGATGATTTACTTCTAGAGTTTAAAGTTAAATTAGATTTGAAAAAAATTATTTAAAAAAAACAACAACAAAACAAGCATCTCAAACAAACGTCTTCTCTCTGATACCCGATTGACACTCGTCATTCACTGTAAAAAAATTAATGGTAATATCTAACAGCCTTTTTTTCTTCTTTTTTGTTATTTTTGACATGAATTCAAGCTCAAACTAAACATCTCAAACCAGATAAATACATTTTCTCACAGCAATGGATAAATAGTTCTTTTTTAAAGCAAATGAAATAAAGAGAATTAATGAGAAACACTTAAAATTGCAAGAAAATTTGAACAAATTAAAATTGCGAAATTTCCCTTGGCCCTTTAACATAGAACCATTTCAGCACGTTAAATAAACCTTCTTGTACGTCGAATTTTGAATTATTAATTCAAACACAGCATCTTATCCTCTAAAAAAATTGTGAGATAAGATAAAATTTAAATAATTAGATTTGAATTTTGCAAAAATTTTGAAAGGATGAAATGTGAAAATAGTTCTAAAATAGTCCTAATTAAAATGACGAGAAGTGAAATTTAACAGCGTTATTATTTAAATGTTTTCTAAACGTCTTTTTAAGTCACAAAATGAAACTATCATTACGCAGAATTTACCTTAAAAAAAAATTGTACAGTATCTTTCGTACAGTTAAATAAATTATTTAATATTTTTTTTGATAATAAATTAGTTACTGAAAACTTATAAAAATTTAAATCATAATTGCAATAATTTTTGAAGTCAAATAATTATTAAATACTTTTTTTGATTCGTGGTAATTTATGTAAAAAAGAATTCACTGCCGTTCCAAAAACTCTTTCACGCTCTAATGACTCAAAAACAATTAAGTAGAACCAATTTTGCACACTTCTAAAAAAATTATTAAAAAACATTCTGATGTAAAATGCTGCCGTATGTTATTTTATTCACAATTTGAAGGTTATTATTTTAACTATTCAAAAATATTCATTGTAGGAAGAAACTGTTCTAATTTTTTTTTCTTTCTTTTTTTTTGCAACTACGTACTTTTAAGGGTACACTGGACATTGAAAATGAAAATGTCCTTCAAAAATCTATTATTTAGGTATCTGAGATACTAAAAAAATTACACTTTACTAGTAAACCGTGTTTAAATCAGGATTTCTCTTCCCGAGTTATAAAGTGATAAATTAGTAAAGGTCCATACATCAATATTCTCGCTAAGTTGCTTTTGCTCGTAATGGAATTTTCTAACGCTCTCACAACTTCAAAAATTTCCTAGCGCACCAGTTTTTGTTTCTTTGTCATTAAAAAAAATATAGATGCTTGTGTAGAGAGTAGAAATCGACCTTACCAACCTTCGTCAATCAAAAGTTTCCTCAATCGAGTTAGCATGTCTTATATACTAGTGAACTGATTTTTAATAATTGTAGTGGTAGTTATGCCACAATACTCCCTCACCAGAATTCTATCAGGAATAAAATTTGATGCTTGGATATCACCAGTCGCCGTATTAAGTTCACCAAATTACGCGCTCTTGTGAGGAGAGCTGTATTAGGTCCACCGAGTTTTGAGCATTGGTCACGAGAGCTGTCCGGTTACGTGTGTGGTCTGTCCTGTAATGTTATCAGTTGTCGCGTGTATGCAGAACTCTGCTTTGTGTAAATAAGACTGAGAAGCAACAGCGCGAGAAGGACAATGACGCAGTCACAAATAGCAAGTATTCAAAGTCTTATATAGAATCACAAATATCTTATCACAAATAGTAAGTCTTAGTCAAAAATAGTTCTACTTCCGCAGATCACCTATGTGGGACCAAAAGTTTGAAACGAGTTAGCATACTAGCAAATTGATATTTAATAATTGCTGTGGTAATTACACCACAATTGCCCTCATTGTATTTTCTTTTATTCTATATGCATTTGATTAACTCAATATCTTAATTTAATTTTTTAATAATTCAAAAAACATAATTGAAGAGGGTTTTTTGAAGAAAGTTTTGGTGACAAAATAAAAATTGAATGTCCAGTTGCGCCATATTTGTATACGTTTACCATAACAACTTAAATTTACTTAAATGCTTTTAAACAACGTATTTAAGTAAAAAAAAATATTAAGTAAAATTAATATTCGTTTGCACGGAACTTTTTAACTACCCACAATTAAACATCAAACATTTTCCTTTAGCCTTAAAAATAATTATTTAAAAAAAAAATCGCACAAAGACTCTTATTAATGCTACGAATATTCTATTAAAATTTGAAAATGATCGAGTAAAAATTGTACTTTTTTGTTTTGACCATCCTGCACCTCCTTAAAGTATCACTTTGTTCAAATTTTGATTTACTTTTGGAGCAATAATACGTTTTTTCGGATCTTTTATAAAGGGAGTATAAATTACTTTTAATTTAAATGCATTGTTGCGAGCAATAACACGCGAGATAATGATATTATAACATTCCAGCTATAACGATTAAGGAGTGATTTTCTATATTAATAAAAAAGATTTTTAACAAATATTTAAAAAATAATATATTTTTAAAAAAAAAAAAAACTATGAGGTAAAGCCACCTGTTCGCTGCCGCTCATCAAGCCTGATGATTGCATCACAATAATTGTTGTTTCTTGGCAGAAAAATTCGAATTCTTAGTGATCGCACGTTGAGGCTTCGGCATCTCAGTCTCAACAATTGAATTTTTATCTTAAAAGAAATTCTTGATGATTGAATGATTCTCTTGATCTTTTTGAGGCAATATTTTTGTTTATTTCATTATTTCTAAGTATAGCCATATTCACTAAATAATGAATCAAATTTTTCTATACGATTTCATTTATTCTTCTGGGATAAATATACCTTCTACATGACAAGCTCAGATGTATCTCACAGGGACAAAAAATTATACTTTTATTCTACAAAGAAACTACATCTACTATACAGCAAAGAATTTGGACTAAACTGCTTTGAAATTTATCTATTAGGCATTCAGAAAAATAAGATCACTGCTGGAGCAACAGCTGTTCCATCAAAACAATTTGGGTTTTTTAATGTTAGCTCATCATAAATCAGTCCGAATTCCTACTCTGGGATGATGGTGGTCCATGATCATTCCAACATTCGATTTCTGAGAAACTATGATGGAAATTTCTAATGGTTCAACAACAAACCATCAAAGCAAGTTGCTATTCTTATGTTGGACCATCATAAATCCGTCCGAATACCTACATTGGGTGATGGTTACTTATGTTGGTTACCATCAAAAATATAATATTTCATGGATAAAATTATTGATGGTTATGATCAGGATCAGTGGGTCCATCGATGGAAAACCATCAAAAATTTTGACATGAGTACGCTTGAATTAGTATGAATGTATCACCTGATTAAAAACTTCATTCTCTTAAGAAATATATAAATAGAAAATTACATTCGACGTGTTTAAAATGCATCAAAAATAGGCATTCAATTTCAAGACTTGCTAGACGTGAATGAATCGAAACAAAAGTGCTTTAAAATTAAAAGTTGCGAACGAAAAAGGGGAAAAGATAAGGTTGTTGTTGTTGTCGTTGGCCATTAAAGCATAGTGGGGGGGGGGTGATTGTTCTTGTTTTCCAGTGGCGTCATCTATGGCCGAGAATTCGACTTCTGCCACACCCATACGTCATACCCATTTATATGGTGGACCCATTCCTGCAACCATTCATTCATCCACAGATGGTTATTTTAACCAGAACCGGAGAATGATTAGTCTTCAATTCAGTACCCACAGAAATATAATTTGTTATGGAAACATGGAGGACGTTGTGACCCGACAGACCAGCCATCATTTATTACAGGGAGAGTCTTCGACCGACTGGATTCGAACTCCCGTTTTCACGGACGTGAGTCCAACGCCCTGCCAACCAAACTACCACGGCACAAAAAAATAGGTGAAAACAAAAGTAGAAAAACCAGAGGAGACGAAGGGGAGAAGGATGAAAAACAGAGCCACGGTGGTCAAGAGGGGAGCAAATCAGCGTAAAACGCATTTCCAAGTGTTATGGAGAGGCGATGAGAAACCTATGTCATTAACAGGGAAATCAGCATGCATATGAATAAAACAAGATTCCAGGGTATCAATACGAGCTGATGCGACTAGGGTGGAAATAGTTTAGCAGTGTCGAAATTGAATTTTTGTAAAAATTGCTAACATCTTCCATAATACCAAAACGGAAGAGAGTTTTTAATGAGGTAATGTCTTTCCGTTTCAGTCTCTTTGAAATTATTTATTTAATATTGTTGTGTATTTATTTCTCGCTGTCTAAATAATCAAGTTACAACCATCAGACAATCTACGCATTAATTGATGGAATAAATCACTTCAAAAATTATGACACAAGGAATCATATGGTTTAAAATATTGAGGAAATTAACCTAATGTCGTTTTGAATATCTGAAGAATATAATCAATAAATTGGTTGAAAGCTTGAGAGAACTTGAACGACATGAGAACTGTTACATAACCTAGTCAGCTGTTGAAAACTCTCGATTTCACTGTTTAATCTT